ATCTTTATGCCTATTTGTTTATTGCTAGTGCTATTGGATGACCATTACGTGTCTGAAAACACGGAGTTGTTGGAAATACCAAGGGAAATTAAAGCTTACCCTTTCTAGACGCTGAAGAAGTGCAGTTTTAAACTGGCGAACACCACGTCCACTAGATGTGGGATCTAGTCTGTGAGCTTTCTCAAAGGCATAGAACCGACCTAATTCCAACAAAGACGTTAGCATGGATTGGATTCCCATACATATAATAAAGTACATACAAAATCCATTGAATTTATTGAAAGATTGTCCAATCATGAAATTTTTGGAAACATAACCTGTCTTGTTAAGTACAATAAGGGGTAAATAGCAAAAACAAACTGAGAGTTCACGAGTGAGAAAAACAAGAGATGTATATATGACAGTGTCAATTTAGACTACTAATTGGGTGGATCGTGATTTAAATGTGTAGTTCAAATTGACACTTTGGCCACATAATATGTCATATATCGAGCAAGATAACATTACCCTAAACACACACATAGATAATAGAATACAAGCGTACGATGTGAGGAAACAAGTGCAACTCACATAGATAGGCAACTCTTGGATTCCTGGACTCAACTTCGTTTGCAACACGGAGAATAGGAGCAATCTCGAAGAGGGAAGAAGGCACCACCTCACTATCCAGCATGGTTTCTCCAAAGCTCCCAGCAGTCTGGGTGCGCAGAATCCGCCTCGGTGGCTGGCCGTCAAACCCTCCTCTTCTATACGCCATCTGTAGACTTTAAGCCCGAAGACCAATCAAACTAAGTTGTGTACCTGTTGATACCAATGACATATGCATATATCAGGAGAAGAGGGAAGTCCCACAATTCCCTAATCGCATAACGATCGGTGTGACTGAACCAAAATCCCAAGTGGGATGCCAAGTAAATATGGGGTCACGCAAGCAGAGAAATTTGGTCTTAAAAATTTTAAAAATCGCAATCAATGAAAACCACGAAGTAGGCTCAACCGAGTCTAATTCTAATCGAACAGTTTATGTTTTGAGTAAAGTTCCCTACTTTCCATTAACAAAACCTCTAAACCCTCAAAAGAAAGTATTGAACATATATTCCAAGTCGTGTATTTACTCTTTAGCAGCAGCAAAACAGAATGAAATCGAAATTCAAAAGATGAGAAATGAAACGAACCACCTTGCCCTTCCCCTTGCACAGTTGCACTTGCCCTTGCCCTTGCGGGAGATAAGGAAATCTTACTAGACCAAAACAAGAAAACATATGAAGTAGAAAGATTTGATTTGATTTATTTACCTTTGTTCCAATTTCTACTTGTAGTTGAAAGCAACTGAGATTGTCTGGGCAGCCACAGAGACGCTCAGCATATGATATGATGGTGAGGGTGAAGCAAGTGTGTAACTTCAGGCAAGTTTCAGGAGGAAGGGGAAAGCAGAGCGAACAAGAAAGACGAAGAATGAAGAAAGAAGAAAGAAAGCGCTTTTATTTTCAAGCAAGTAAAAATAACCACATGCACTCTCTCTCCTCTCACACACTTAAGAGAGAGACACTGACACTGACACTAACACTGACACTTTAGAGAGAGAATGGCAGGGTGCATTTTTGCTTAAATAAGGTGGTGAGCAAAAAAGCTCACGAGAGTGGCATGGGTAATGGGTGCCAACCGAAGAAAGCGACAGCTACTAAGCCTACGTAGTCTCTCCTAGTCTACGAAGTTTCTCTCTGTATTCTCTTTCTTCTCTCCTCTCTGATGTGCTATGGAAAGAGATCCGGTCTCTTTCATCTCATCGAATCAAATGACCTGAAATTTTGAATTTTCATTCAACGATCTTTTTATTTTGATTTTTAAAAGTTATAATAAATTTTTATTTTTGGATAAAATCTAAAAAGTCCAAATCAAGTAATTCGATGAAAGAAATCTCCGGGGCTTTTTCCGGTATACTGGATACTATTGGTACTTGGTGTGGGGGCCTGTTGGAGAAAAATGTTGGGCACTTGTAGAATCTGACATGGAAAGTCCTTTTTTTTTTAATTTTTGTTCTCTTGAAAGGGAGGCGCGTGGTGGGGTGAGGTCGGCCGTCCTATGATTTATATATTACGACCATCCCTTGTCGTTCAGTTACATCCTCCCCTCCTCCCCCACTTCCCAACCAAATTGTTTATTTCTCCTTTTCGTCAGACACATACAGACCCAAACCCGTCTTAAATTTTGTGAATTCTCTCCTCTTTTCTAGTTTGGGCCCATATATTATTATGTTATCTACATATTTATTTTTTACTTCTTTCGTACTTTTTATAATTTTTAGTTATCGGATCGAATAAATTGAAAAAGATTAATCATCAAAAGTTAACAAGAGTGCATGAAAAGTAAAAATGAAAGTATGAATAACATTTTCTTATATGATTACTCATTTACATGACATTATAATAATACACGAGATATTTTACTATTAAAGATGAGACATTATACAAGCCAAACGGCTTGTAAGAGTCATTCTTCCTTATATACGAATATATCGTAATTCAAACCGTTTGCTCTATTTATCATCCTGTAAAAAAGAGTCATTCTTAACTCTCTATCTCTCTATGACTCTTATCTTTCTTTCCAAAATCCTGGATCCAGAGGCGAATCCATATTGGGACTTGGGTGGTCTTAGGATCCACTAGAGTCTAAGAAAATTGGTGAAGGTACTTCCAGGACCCTTTGAAAATTGATACAGGATCCTTTCGTGCCTATAACGTGTTCAATGAAATGTCATATTGACATATCTCATACAAGACAAGTCAATATCCTTCAATAGGATGCGTCGACATCACTCGATAAGGGGTCTCAATAGCATTCGGCAGATGTAAACATATGTTGAAAGGTGTGGGACATGGTTCAACAAAGGACAACAAGCACACATTTAGATCTTACTCATGGTTTTAATCTAAAAGTCATATTTACCAAAAATTAAAATGAAGTTTTATATACCCATTTGGCACCTCTTGTATCTTGTTGGTCCATCTTGATGAAATCTTTCTATCGTTGCTTGTTCGTCTCTACAGACAAACTAATCCGAAAGAACTGTTCCTTTTTTATTTATTTATTACAAACCATTTAGTCATCATATGATTCTTGTTGATAATTAAGAGAAAGAACGGTTTAGGTTTTTTATCTTGTGTGGGATAACTTGCAAAATTGGCATGAAATGAACAATGCTCCAAATTTTATGAGGGGATGATTTCGACACACAATTTTTTAAGTTGTTTATAGTCATCGGATTCAATAAATCAAACAAAAACAACATATATAATTAAAGAGGAGCGTGCAGCAGAAAAAAAAAGTGTGTTTATAGTTTTTTCAATTTTATTTAATAAAATTTTAAATTAAGAACCAAAGCGATAATTCTATCATAATTCAAAAACTATTGCTCCAATTTTCTCTCAATTCTAATATGCACAATTCATCTAATTATACACTTCATGGTTGCGTATGTTACTCATTTTATTCTTTTTCTTACTTGAAAATCCATATTTAATCTTGAAACCCTACAACAGAATTATTGTAGAAATCTGACATAAATACAATTACATTTACATCTCTCTCTATGAATGATGATCTTTTTACATCAAAAGTTTATCTTCTTGCAAGTGGTGCTTGCTTACTTAGGCATCAAGAAATATCAGATGAAGCTCTTTTTTATAATGCTAATCATCTCCTTAGGGAATATGATATTCGAAGATAAGATAAGACTGGTAAAAGCCAAGACGGCTATACATAGAATACATAGGGTCCCGTCATTCACCAAACTTTGCAGCCTGCAAAAGACAATGGTGACTTATATATAAATATTTGGTTACCATGCATGTATCCATATTTATGCTATTGGCTCACCTGTGGAAAAAGTAACTTCTAAATTTAATAATTGATCCCTTTAAATAAGTTACCTTTTGCTTTCTACAGTTTTGATACCTAACTTAACATGCACCTTTTTTATATGACAGCACTGATTTTCTCTATGTTATTGTTGGGTTATTTTTGGAGACCTATTTTGCTAGCTTAATTTAAAGTACGTGTTATATGACCCGGCAAGGCCGCGGCAAGGTTTTTACTGAGGTCGAAATAAATGCACGGTATCTTTCTATGAACTTGTTTATTCTTTGTATGAATGAATATCATATTTCTTATAAATAGAAAAATAAAAATTTTTAGAGTAAACTGTTATTTTCGCTCATTTTAGGAAATTGATTTGTGGCATCCATGCATACAAGTAGGTGGTGTTAATTAATTAGTTAATTTAACAAAAGAAAGCGTGAGGAGAAAGACATAAAGCGACAAATGTAAAGCAATGGAGAAAATGTGGTAAAGTTGTTTTTTGTAAAGGAAAAATATAAAGTTAGGGATGTGTTAGCATCAGCAAAAGATAGATAGATAAACTTTCTCTATCTGCTGAAGAAATCAGCTATCAATTAGCATGCAAGAGCACGAAAACCATCGAACACGAGAGAGAGAAAGTGACACCAATGATTTCAGTACTAATTAAACAATGGTCACTTGGATGATGGCAGATGTCATGATATGTATATTTTTATGTACACATTATACATTATATATGTTAGTCATTGTGTTGTGGGTCCCATTGATTAAGACTAATCACTTATCTTTTATCATGTACACTAAATGTATATATATGACTGACCTAATCACTTACCTTAATTTGTTATCGACTGGAGACTTAAGACTTGTATCATGCAAAATGCAATGCATCGATGGCAAACTTGATCAGTACCCCACATCTAACTTTTATCCGACGAAGTCGATTCCGCATCTGGATGAGGTAGCTAGAACATTTCTCCTCAATCTTTCATTTGTGATTGACGTATTTTACCACTCGACAATACAGTACATTGCACGTAAGTATGTGTCCTTATCAGGTGTTGTATTGGATTCTACACAGGTTTCAGGTTTTACATTGCACCATCCATCCACCCAAGTCAGTCTACACAAACACCGAAGAATGGAATCACAAATTTGCAATCCAATAAAACACGTTTGCTATTCATAAATACTTTCAGCATAACGATCGAGCAAAGTTGAGACGGAATTATGTTCCTATTTTGACGGAGGCAACCTAAAAAGAAGACTAATCACCCACATTAGGATCGATCCAAGAACCCAAAACACGAGAAAAAGGACAAGAAATCCAGCCAAAATGGTTAGCAGAGGAGGGCCCTGGGGAGCAGGATCATTCGTTTCAACCCCACCTGATTTATCTTTGGTCGAATCTCCATCTGGAGGGTTGGAGTTTGATGCAGACACAGCGTGCCTTGTTTCCTTTATTTGCAATCCCAAAACATTCTTGTTCAACCTGTTAAAAGAAAGTAGCTAAAATTAGGATATTATACAGCAAACCTATTATAGTTGACCAAAAATTGACCCATACAAATACAGTATATGACAAACAACCATCATATTTTCTACTTGTTCGGACAACAAATCAAGCAAACAACAAATGTAAGTTTACAGAATGAAGTACCAACCACGATACTCATATCAATTGTTCAGAAAGTAATTACCAACCGCGGAAAACAGCGCTAGTTGTCAAGGTACATATTGAGACCCCATGGCCATGGTTACGAAGCACTTTCTTCCTCCTTGATGGACACTATCCACAAGATCAAAACAGTCCATCCGCATTGGATTTGGATGTGACCCAGCAAGTAAGTGACAAAACAGCATTCATCCATAAAGTAACAATTCTTCTGAAATCTGGGGTCTTAGTGATATAAATGAAGTCAAATGTTATTGAGAGCGGCACCCTAGGCTTATTTTTGGTCAAAGCACGAATGTTTAAAGCCGCTATAGGCTACTTAACCAAAACATGATTGTTTAAAGTTATTACATTACATCAACATAATGTCTATATTTGTGAAAATTAGTTCTTCAACTTTTACCATAGTTTACAATTTGCTCTCATGACTGAAAATTTGATAACTGAGGTCCCTAAGTTTAGCAAAATGTGCACCATTGGTCCCTATCATTAACTTCCGTCAAAGGTTTTGTTAGTTTGATGACGTAGAACACATGTGGGTCCCCACTTTTTGAACGCGTTCATGGACCAAATCTAAACTAGAGTGAAAGTTAAAGGGCAAATTGTGAGTCACACGTCCTGCCATGTAATCAAATTGAAGGAAGATCTCATAGAAGGCGTTTTGTTAAATTTGGATTACAATTAACGAATTTTTAGAGGGGGTATTCAATTGGAAATTTGAGAGATTTTAATGGATTTATAAATTCATGGATTTTGATTCAATTCCTTCGAAATCTCATGAGGAGATGTGAGATTTGTGGATGCTTAAAATACACCACAAAATTTTTACAATTCCTTCTAATTCCTCAACTCTTCCAATTTATTTAAATTCTAATTCTAATTGAATACACCTCGAATGTTATAAATTTCTTTAAAATTCTAATTGAATACATCCGGATTTCAAAATATTTTAATAAACTATCTTAAAATCCTGATTGAATACACATTGAATTTCAGAAAATCACTTACAATCTAGATTGAATACGAATTTATTAAAAGAATTAAAATCCCTAAAATCCCAATTGAATAGTTTAAAGAACAAATCTGAACTATGCTAAAAGCTCAAAATCCCAATTGAATAGCTTAAAGAACAAATCTGAACTATGCTAAAAGCTCAAAATCCCAATTGAATAGTTTAAAGAACAAATCTGAACTATGCTAAAAGCTCAAAATCCCAATTGAATAGTTTAAAGAACAAATCTGAACTATGCTAAAAGCTCAAGACCAATTCTAAATTTTATTCCCCAATTAAATTACTAGAGAATGCCCTGAAACTAGACTAGTGGTCTTGATTCTCATCCGCAAACAACGGATATAATATTGCTCAGAATTGAGAAATTAAACTACCTGAAATGGATAGTCGGTGGTGCTGCTGGTGCTTTAACGGCGCTGAGTTTGAGGGAAGTCTGAGGTGCTACCGCGCTTGGACGAAGCAGAAGCCGCCGGCAATCAGAATTATGGGTTGGTCGCGCTCCGCCTCCACCCAACAACACAGATCTCGCCATTTTCCTGCACCTTCACACAATCACACAACGAACAACCAAGTATCACACGTTTGGACTTTCTTCAAAATAATTTTATTTTTTTTGGGCCTCAAGTTTTTACCATTTCATAGCAAGTTTTCACCTTTTTCCATCCGTCCAAAACTGTTTTTTTCTTTATTTTGTTTTTATAATTTCGGAAATTATGTGGAGCTCCCTTTTTTTTTTTTTAATTTCTTTTGAACAGTATTTTTCACACATTCATTTTTATGTTTTACACATCCTTGTTAATTTTTACCGATTAATCTTCTTCCATTCATTCTAACGATCGAAAATTTAAAGAGATATATGAGAAATAAAAATAAGCATACATACACCACTATTGTTTTTTTTTTTTTTTTTTTGGTTAAACATGGAGTTCGAGGAAATCGGGTGAGAGTTGTAACCACTGACCAAGGGCTAGGCTTGACACATTTCTTTTCGATTTTGTTCTCTTCAGACCAGAAAGAGAAAAGGCATTGGCCAAAAAGAACAAGAGATGTAGGTAAAAGGAACCACGGAGTTTACCAGATTAACCGACGACAAGGAACAGAGGACAAAGCATAAATTAACAACATACAAAGAAATAATTTTTTTCTTTTTTGCAAATTCATACCAAGTGGCAAGCGGCGAGAGCAGAACACGCGTAAAAAATAAAATGCATAAAACTTGTGGAAATCTTTAAACTATACGATTTATTCGAAATAGCTCCAATCTGTTTATTAAAAGAGCAGCAAAACCCCCTGCGCCTATGTCACCTCAAAATTCCTTCAAAGTAGCTGAAAATACTCAAGTGTGTGCGTGTTAAGGTTTTCATTGAACAATTTCTCAACTAAAACCAACAGAAACTGACATTTTTACACCACCGTTACATCCTTCACAAAGCCATCAATCGGGAGCAATTATTACTCAAACAAGCGATTTCATACAGCACTCCATTTCTCAAGACGAAGCTGCTTTCTTGCAGAAATTCTCAAGCGATTCCATCGTAACACTTTTAGGCCTTTCGAGAGGCAAACCAAGAGCTCGGTCCCATATCAACTGAAACAAACCAAACCAAACCAAGACAATACATTAAGATAATGAAATTTTAACAATTTGTAATAAACTAGAGAGAGGGAGCTAACCTGAGAACCAATCCCTATACTCCTCGACACACCAAAGAGAACAGTAAAATATCTGCCACAGTTGAATTTCAAGTACATTATCATCTCCAAACAGGTGCCGCTTCAGAATATCATGGACCATCACCAGGAACAACGGAAGAAATAATAACATGAAATATCATACCTTGCCTCAGTCAAACCAAAATGGTTCAACAGAACTCCACTGTGTGCATCTACATTGGGCCATGGGTTTTTAACCTACGAACATGATAAAATCCCAGATACAATCAGCATCAGATTGCTCCTCAGTTTAAATGGAAAAGACAGACATAATGATTGTGAAAAATTATCAATTTCTCACTCAGCTTTAAGCGAAAGATCCTAGCTCAAGCACAATAAAAGATTTTGCACTTCCGTTGGTACATAAAATCATTAATTTCAAATCTAAAGGATTACGGTATATTCTGAGAGGCAAAGATATAACATATTTTACTTTCATAAAGTAAAGTTATTAAATTACCTTGCCTAGTTCGGTAAGTATGGGAGGCACAACTTCATAAAGCTTGGAGACCTGTTTAAGGTAATGGCTAAGTTAGCTCATAAAGGATGGATGCAATTACAACTACAATTAATAGTGTGCATAAAAAGCGTACACCCTTGTGCAATCAGGGTTACACCTACCAACTGAAACAGCGGATCATCAGGCATGTGTTTCAATGCAAACTCCCTTTGACATGTGTATCGTGGGTCTGTTTTACGCAAGACCCCATGTCCAAAACCAGGAACGACCTGCAATACGAGAAAAAGAGGAGAGGTGACAACTAGAGACAAGAATTTAGCAGCTCATCAAACAATGGTGTCAAACGAAGTTTCAAAAATATTTCAAATGGTGAAGATTCAAGAAAAGTGAAAGTCCATTTTGCTTAGGGAATGAAAACACAAGCTAATGAGGTCTGACGAGGCAACTTCCTTTGCAAGTTTAAAACTTCTACAAAGTCACAGGTAGAATAGTCAATCACCTATTAGTTATGACTACCTATTTTATTTTATTTTATCTGTTGGATGACAGTACTAAGCTCAGTAGACGAGTTCTGACAAAGATTGAATGGTTTAGCCAATTTTCTGGCAGAAAATGTCAATGAGCAAAGATGCATATTGCTCATTAGATAATAGATCCATACAAAAATAATAATAAATTCATGAGCTAAGAATCAACCGTGCATGTTTATTACAACAAGAGAATAAACTAAACATGGGCCATATCTAAATAGATTATTTAGGTAAAAGTTAATGGCTTTACCTTCCCACTTTTTAACGTTTGCCAGACATAATCTTTCAACTGCTCGGTAGTTACATTCTCTCCGACTTCATCTACCACAGATTTTATCCAAAGCAATACTTCCTGCAATAAAACAGTTCCATATGAGGAAAAGAGAATACATGTTGCAACATGCACCCGTTCTAAACAGCAATACCATTTTTTGATAAACAAAATATAGTTCCCGCCTTTATTAGAATAGACAAATGGAAACAACCAGACAAAAGAAAAAAATAATACCTGATTAGCCAAACCATGGAGTGGGCCAGCCAAGCCATTTAAAGCAGCTGCAAATGAAAGATACGGATCTGAAAGTGCACTAGCAACCTGTATTCAGAAGGTAACATCAAAGAACATATACATCAGCATCCAAAATTGGAATAAATATCAAGTTATCGATCAAACTCACATGATTCACATTTTTCAAGACGAAATGATGTTAACTAGAGTCCTTGTTACCAATGTATAAGAAAATAACAAGGGAAAAAAGAACAAAAATTGGGTAGCTTACCAAGTGTCCCGTGTGAGCACTGACATTCCCACCCTCATGATCACTGTAATGCATTATTACTTAAGAAGTCATATAACTTGAAACCAAAATAATATATCATAAATGTCCTGGAAAGAGAGGTTTATACAAACCTATGGATGGTGACATAAAGCCTCATGAGCTCATGCACCTTGGGATCGTCAAAACCCAGCATGTGTGAAAAATTTGCACCATAATCCAAAGAATCATCAATCTGTTTTACTTTTCCATCCTTGAAAATTCTTCAAACCACAAGGAGGAAGAAGAGAAATAATGCCACCGACCATCAGTCAGTTGAGAATATCATACATAAGAAACAACTTTTTAACACACAAAAGTTTCACAGATTTAGATTAATGCTGTTCTAAAACATGCACAACTCACAATGTTAAACCCTTTTTTTTGTGTGTGTGTGTGTGTGAAAAGAACACAAGGTGAAGCCTATAACTATGAGGAAGATGTAATCTGCTTTACTAACCTTCGATAAATATAGGCAGCCACTACTGGCACTTGTGCAATCAAGCTAAGTGAATCCTCAAAAGTTGGCTCCCAGTACCTAAAAATACCATATGTTAAGATGTCTAAAAAGTAATGGAAGACTTAGGTTAAAGAGAAAATATAAAATCAAACTTACTTTGATTTATGTATCCCCTTTTCATATGCCTTCTGGAATTCACTCTCTACCTGAAAGCGGTATTAAAAAGTGGGATATTTAGTCACATATACTAGAGATACTCAGAAAATCCGGTAAATGAGTACTGCCAGCCTTTTAATGAAATAATTAATTATTTCATTCACATGGATAAGATTTCATTCTCCTACAAAGAAATACAATCAATAAAAAACAAAGAAACACTGAAGCTGACTGAATGATCCGATAAGGAATAGTCATTCAGAAAAATTAGCCTCCTTAGCTCTAGAACAACAAGAACAAAGATGAAAGACAACACGCAGTATTGCACCACATAATCAGTAGCATGCATCAGCCTTTTGTGACAAATACTAATTGATAACTGTACAACCAAACAGACCATGCCCAAGCAAGGACTTCATCTAATTACTTGATTGTATGTAACTCATTGTGATAGAAAAAATTGCATAGTAAACTCAGGTCTATTAAGTTCTTATCTCAGAAAGTAATTAGGAAATTTTACAACATAAACAAAATCTCACATTTTACATATTCAGAAAAAGTTTATGAAGAGAAAATCTGGGGACTCAACACTCCTAAGTTTTCTTACATATAAGTAGTAGCTCTCCAGATCAATCTTACATAATGTACAGCAAATTTTCCTCTATTTTTAAAAGGCGAAGGCACAAGCGAGGGGTTTCATGGATAGCCCCTCACGAAAGCCTTGAGGTGTGAGGTGAAGCCTCAAGGGACTTGAGATTTTTAGTATATATTTAAAATTACCAAAAAAATAAACAAAAAAAATGCTTATTTTTTCTTGCTGGTCAATCACTTTTTTAGTAAAGAATAATGTTTTTATAGAAATGTATTATTTTTAGTCTCTTGAAATCTATAAAATAATATTAAACGTAAAGTGTAATAAAAAAAGAATATATTGGGGAATATGCTGGATTGCTGGTGAACAACTGTCAATGGCTTAAGTTTAAAGAGAGAAAAAAAAAAAGGCCAAAAAAGGCCAAAAAAATTATAAAAAAAAAAACGAAAAATCAGCAAAATAAATCACTCCAAACAACACCGTCTTCTTCATCTTCTTCAAAGTGCAACGGCTCTACAACTAAAACTTTCAGATTTCAACTGAAAAAAATTCCAGATTCCGATGACTTTTAAACAAAAAAAGGCCCAATTGAACACCTCAGGCGTGCCTCGACCACATCTAGGGGAGTTTTCGCCTACTCCCACTTGGCAGAGGCGATTTCAGCCCTCCTCCTCCCCACCTATGAAGCCACCTAGGCGTGCCTCAGGGTGTGCTTTTTAAAACACTTATTTATACAAACCCTAAAACAAAACATCCTGGAATTGATCCTGATAATCATAATACTTTGCAGTTGGATGTCTGAAATCAAGCAATCAAGACTCAAGACGGGTAATAATGAGAAAATTTGGCATACATTACATCATCAATGATATATTACGATTACAAAATATCAAGTTATTCACATATGCAAACGCACCCTTAGCTAAGGGAAAAGCCTAAAAGAAATGCCCCACCTTCCATTTCACAGTTACCTGGAAGCCTGAGGGTTCCACGAAAGACAATTTGGCTAACCAAGAAACGAAACTAAATGCATGAATACAGAACACTAAATCTGATTTTGACAAACCGTGATTATGGCATAAGGGCAAACGTAAAATAACTAAAATATGAGTATAATGCAACCCTGAGTAGCCCATATACCAACCTGGAGGGCCATGACACCAGTGGTAAACTGGGTCATTGGATGTGCTGTAATAGGCAGAGCATCAATGGCCTTATACACATAATCTGCAATGGAGAATTATATATATATGAGGAGTAATCTTGCATTAATGATCAAAACCAAAGCACTTCAATCACATAAAAGCCTTTCTAGATACAAATATCAAGTGAAACAAACATCTTCGGTAAGTAGGCTTCTTATGAAGACAAATAATATTATCCAATTTTTTTTTTCATTAATAAAATTATGGGTATCAAAATAGACAAATATAAGCTACCGAACCTGGAACTACGGCACGAGTCCTCAATTCCTTGGATAATGCATCTACTTGCTCTTTGCTAGGTACCTATGACACATAAGCAAGGCAAAAGGTGTGTTCAATGTTAGGATATACCAAAACTAACACAAAGCAAAAAGGAAAACAAAGCCACATAAATAATAAATACAAATACAGTCCATGTTATAGGCAACAAATGTTTTCGCAAAATTTGAACTGTGACATTAACGATGACATTCAGCTGAGGCTAAATATTTCAGGACGTGTATAGGGAGTTAAAGATATCTTATGTGGATACAGATTACAGTAAATGAATCTTTGTATTTTTTTCAAGTGTGCACCTTCAAAAAATATCTTGTGATGGAAAATGCCCTAAAAAACGATACCTTTCCTGTTAAAAGCAGCCACAGAAGACCCTCAGGCAAAGGTTCTCCACCTGGCTTTGCAGCTGGTAATACTTTCTGGCATTCTGGAATTGACAAACCCCTGAAGCGAATTCCCTGCATAAAGTAGCCAAGACATCCTATTAACATAATCTTTTCAATTCGCTGTTAGAATTATCAGAAATTTATCCACGTTGATTCATAAAGTTTCAAGCTGAGTAATTCAAATGCAGACCTCATCTGGATCAAGTAAGGAGGTTTCCCACAGCAACCCTGTCATTCCTCTCATTCCACCTATCACCTACGCAATTTTAGATCGAATCCACACACAGGTTACAAACTATGACCATATGTAAGTCCAAAATTAAGAGTTTATTCAAAAGAAAAATAACAAAGATCAGATGAAGGTTCACTAATTGGCTTTTAGTCGTACAAGCATTAAGTTCTTCACTGATAACAAAGAGAAACATTCTACAATTTCTTTATGAAAGAAAGATACTTTACCATATCAACAGTGATATTGCCCAGTTGAACTTTTCCATAATCTGCCTTGAGTTTCTTCAGACGTTCCTGTTACCACAAAAAAAAAAAAAAAAACAAAAAATACGGGTGTGATAATATCAACATATCTAATATTCATATATAAGTAATTGTTTTACTTTTTAGATCTCAGAACCGCTCAAAGTCATAAAAACTGTTTTAACTGAAATAGACATGACATAAGACCTCTATTCAAACCTTTCTCCACATCTAATTCTCATAGAAGAATGAAAACAAGTTAGAGTTATAGATAGCTCTTCAGCACAGATACACTGCTTTTGCAGCAGATGGAAAGCACGGATTCTCACCCATACATTACACCCAGGCATCTCAATAAACAAAGATTGCACCAAAAGAAACTAACTCAAATTATATCGACTCAACCGAACTATCTTAGCATATGAGTAACTAAAAATAAGAAAACGGAACCATTGTGAAAGGAAATGCCGTACAACAAACCTGTTGTTCAGGAATCAATTCAGCCAGCTGAGAACGAAGTTCCTGCATGGCATTGGCAACAAAAACACAATCACAATCACAAACAAAATGATGGTCATGAGCAAGTTAATTACTACTTTGCACATGCTAGTAAATTAATTGACATAAAATGAAAAAGAAAATATGAGTGCGAAAATTTAGAGGCTAGAATGTACAAGGAAGAAGAAGAACTCACAAGATCTGTGGAGCTCTGCGTTTGGATCCATCTGACGGAATCTCTGAGAGTCGACTGTTGCCCCTGCAACCAAAAGCGATCGCCATCACAATCACAACCACATTTGGTTCCAGAAAAATAAAAATTCCAAAGAATCTGAGAAATAATAAAGAGCCGATTTCAGTCTGAATAAGGGAAAAGGAAAAGGAACTCACGAGACGGGAACGGAGCTTGGAAAGCGCGGTGACGCTCCTGAAGAACACCATCGATGACTGCAGCGATCGATCACCTGTCTCTCTCTTGCGGTACTCTGCACCGATCCAACTCAATTACGTATTAAATATGAATTTCACAAAATGCAGACAACATTCCAGAGCCCAGCCCAACCCAACCCGAAAGACAGAGAGAATGAAGAGTCGAGGGGAGAATTACAATCTAATTTTGGAGTTGCGCTTGAAAAATCAAAATGGCTGAAAAAAGGAAAGTACGTAGGGACTAGGGAAGGAGTGAGTCAAAACTCAAAAGTCAGAGAAATAGTAGTGGAATCTGAACGTCAAACGTAATTTGAGACCAACCACCAAATCAAACGCAGTCATTCCCTCGTTTACCTTTCAAAGTTTCAAACCCCTCTTTTCCCCTCGTTCCTTTTTTGTTTTAACATTACACTCCGGTATATTTATATTTTACTTATTTAAACAATACATTAGGAAAAAAAAATTATTTATCAATTGATAAGGATTCCACCTTTTTTTATCAATTGCCTATTTCACCGGCTAACGAAATTATTTTACAAGAAAATTGGACTTTAATAATTTTTTATTTATAAGTGACATACATAATGTTTCAACATTTGAAAGATATTTGATATCATAATAAATTAAGAATGTGACTTGGACTAATACTAATATTTTATTTAAAAAATTCAAGGGCAATATATTTATATTATTTTTATAGGTGAGCAAATAGAAATAGGTAGAGCATTTTCCTGGCGGGCGGCCAGCGCATAGCTGTCAACATCACTTTGGTATCTGGTGCCTTTCAGTGACCGTTCAAAATTCAGAAAAATCTAGTTTGAAAGCTGTTTATTTAGACAACAAAAAAGATAAAAAGATCTGAATTGGCTGCCTTCCTCATTCCATACTTTTCTCATTCTTTTTTATTTATGTGATCACGGTTAAACCACATAAATATTTTATATTTCTGCTTTTCATCTTATTATTTCTATAAAAATATCAATATATGTTAACGTGGCTTAACTATGATCACAGAAATAAAAGAAGATGAGAAGTGTACGAGAGCTTAGATTTTAAAGTTAAAAAAACATCAAAAACGTGTTTGTTTCCAATAATTAGTAGAATGAGCATGGGTTGGGCCGACTACTTGAGCCCAATTGGCGAATTTATCCACCTATTGAGAATACGTCATGGGTTAAAACGAAGAGCTCAAAATTAGCACGAGTTTCCAAAGAAAGGTGCACTCAAATGTCACCCCAAAAAATAAGCTTTTCGGCGCTTGAAAAGAAAAAATGATGGAGAAGCAGACGAGACCACCAAAGCTTCCTTTTCCCATCCCTTCCCAAAGTATCCATCACCCCCAAACTTAGATTTAAGATTACTATGAATTTATTTATGTAGGAAAGCAGGAGGGAGGGTCGGTTTCTTTCTTTCATACCTCCACCGCCACCACCACCATGATGATGATGAAGCGTCGTCACCATTTCAGCTTTGCCCGCTCGGCTTTGGAATTGGGCTTGGTTTCAGTTTCCAATTCCAGTTGCTTCTTGGTATGTATCTCTCTTTGCTTTGCTTTGTTTTGTATTCCCATGGACGCCACGCCACTTTTTAGCTTTGTTTCTAGCTGAAATCAAATTAGTCTGCAATTCTACCCCTTTTTTCTTTCTTTTCTAATTTTATTTTGCTTGCTTATTCATTTGATTTCCGTTATCAATTGATGCAAAAATGAATTCCCAACTCGCTTAGTTTTGCTTCCAATACTCAACACAGACTCTGTCTGTGATAGGAGGCAGTTGCACTTAACTCTCACAAGCACCCAATAGTTTCATTTCTTGTTGCTCATATCTGTTCTGAGCGAGAATTATATATATGTGTGACTATCGAAATCATACGCTTTCTATTAGGCCCACTTGGAAACTGCCTCGTCTTCCACCTCCGGAATTGGAATTATTCATGCTAACGGTTCACTTCCCCCTCAAATGAGTGCATCCACGCCAAGGATGTTCGCTACTTCTAGCGCTAACTTATCAGAACATCTTCCTAATAACAATCCTGCTTCTGATATGTTAATCGACTCATTTGGGAGGCTCCACACTTACTTGAGGATCTCCTTGACAGAACGTTGCAATCTCCGCTGTCAATACTGTATGCCAGCTGACGGTGTGGAGCTCACCCCCAGCCCTAAACTTCTTTCACAGACTGAGATTGTTCGCTTGGCAAAGCTGTTTGTAAGCTCAGGAGTAGACAAAATTCGTTTGACTGGAGGGGAGCCAACCGTAAGGAAAGATATTGAAGACATATGTTTAAACTTATCTAACTTGAATGGATTGAAAACGCTGGCCATTACTACCAATGGAATTACTCTTGCAAGAAAACTTCCCAAGCTCAAAGAATGTGGCCTTACTGCTCTCAATATTAGCTTAGACACGTTGGTCCCTGCAAAGTTCGAATTTATGACCAGGCGTAAAGGCCATCAACGGGTTATGGAATCAATTAACACTGCCATAGAACTTGGATATAATCCTGTTAAAGTATGTTTCTTTCTCTCAAACTTGTACTACTATTTTCATTTCCTCTGAACTTTGCATACACTAATACATTATCATGCACAAGTGCCATTCATTATATGCTTTCTATTCTATTATTCAGGTAAACTGCGTGGTGATGCGTGGATTCAATGATGATGAAATGTGTGATTTCGTAGAGCTGACACGTGATAAACCGATTAACATTCGATTCATTGAATTCATGCCTTTTGATGGAAATGTTTGGAATGTTAAAAAACTTGTACCCTACTCGGAAATGTTGGATACAGTGGTAAGGTAGAACTTGGACTAAGAATCCTGCGAATTTATTTCTTAATGCCTTAATACATCCCTCACCTCACATGCTATTAATGAACAGGTAAAGCGTTTTACAGGTCTAAAGAGACTTAAGGATCACCCAACAGATACGGCCAAGAATTTCAGGGTAGATGAACATGTTGGAGTAGTTTCTTTTATCACATCAATGACTGAGCATTTTTGTGCGGGTTGCAATAGACTGCGACTCTTAGCTGATGGGAACTTCAAAGTTTGCTTGTTTGGTCCTTCAGAGGTGAGTTGTCACCCTGTTTAAGCTTTTGGCTTAGTACTAGAATTTGACAAGTATTATATGCAGTAAACCAGCGTCATCATTTCCGAAATTTTTCTTTCTGCCATGGATTATTAAGAATACTTTCAGGGATGTATGCATATGCTATTTTTGCTTAAGCAATCCATCTAGCTTTTTGGACAGATTGATGCTTACTTTTTTGCAAGTCAAGTGCTAAGTTTGCTTAGTGCACCATTGATACAGGACTGGACCAGAAACATACAAAGGAAAAGAAAAGATTGTGCTCGGTTACTATTCATAGTACCATAGTTGCACTTATTATTAGGTTTTTGTGTCCTTCTGTGTTCTTTGTATTGGGATTTTGGATGGTTTAAGGGCAAGGGTTTATTCCTATTAAGGATTTTGCGCTCCATCTTCTTATAGTTATATACAATCACCTAGTAGTAGTACTATACTCCTTACTTGTTATTAAGATAGCCTTTAATAGCTATTAGCCACCCTCCAGATTTCTCAAACATGCTTACCCTTAAATTTTTGTAGCTCAGTGTAAAGATGGTCCACATTTTAGTATTCTGGCTATAAGAAGCCTCCCCTTTTTTTAGGTTTTTCATATCGATTGCCGGATAGGCTATAAGCTCAAAATTATTGAAGGGAAGAAGCCATTGTAGTCCAAACTTAATATATAATATATGGGTGGGATGCATTGATAGCCATGAAGGGTAAGGGATATCTGAAATTGGGGTGCTGATCAGTACGGACAGTGACACTAGACTTATCTCACAGAAGATCATAGGCTTTTCTGGCAACTTTGCTGGACTACGTCTATAGAACTGAAATTCTTGATGAACACAGCATTATCTCCTGCACATCAACTAAAAGCTCACAAAATCATAGTTGAAATTTAACAAACAATAAAAGAAATTCAAGAAACACCAGAGTAGAAAGTGTGATTCTTTATTTTTGATGAAGATCCTCTATCCGTATGTTATTATTCCTAAATCTATATTTATTCTCCATGAGGCTTTCTTTTTAATCTCTTTTGTTTTTCTTTTGGTTTTGTTTGTGGTCTACTTATATTAGCTTTAAGTTAAGGCATTAGGAATATGTGCAACAGAAATTTTAAATAATACTTTCCTGTTATTAAAATAATATGTTTAATTTGCAGGTCAGCTTAAGAGATCCTCTTCGTGATGGTGCTGATGATCACGAGCTGAGAGAAATAATCGGGTCAGCGGTATGTGCATGATAATTTGTTCAGAAATGCTCAGTGCTTCAACGATCGAATTGTTTTGTGTTTGATCAAAAGTTCATGTTCTCATGCAAAATTCAGCTTTCAAGCTTTCCTGCTATGGATTTTGAAGCCTTCTTTTCATGTTTGCTATAGGTAAAGAGGAAGAAAGCTTCACACGCCGGAATGTTTGACATTGCGAAGACGGCGAATAGGCCTATGATACATATTGGTGGCTAATGCTTGGTATGACCTCTATTCACGAAATTCTATATTGCCAATTTCTTCAAAGGAAACATCTACAGATTTAGTGGTAAAAACTTGATCCGCCTTAATCTAGTGGGAGTGATACAAAATGGAATAACTGTATCTGCAGGTTGTGTAGAATATAAACTTGGACGCAGAGAGCATAAACAGAGCCGTCTGTCATATTTTGTAGTGCCGATCTGAGCCTCTCATTAAAGAGTGGAAAGAACATGTTGGTGCTGTTTGTTACTGGGGCTGCTGGCATCTGGATAAGCAAGCAGTGAGATACTTGAGCCAGGACAAGAAAAAAGATGTTGGATTTGTACTTTTAGATTTCCTCTGATCTTTGTTGGCATTTACGGTGAAAGAAACATTTTTCCTTGTAACCTATATCATGTATTATCGAAGGAATAAATAGCTAAATTGTATGGACTGAGCAATTTAGCAATTGTTCGTAATTTTGTGTAATCTTTCCAATGAACAAGCATTCATTTTCTCATGTCCTTTACTTGTTCTACAACTGCTGCTCTACAATGGACTCGACGGAAAAAATTAAACCAGAGGCATAGGGATATACGCGGGAGTTCGAAAAAGATTTAAGTAATTAAAAGAGAGAGATGATGAGCAATGACATCTTAATATATGGGATTATACGTAGTTTGCACTAGCTACGGCTACTTAATTAAGAAACTCTAGAGAGATGATATAGTTAGTCATTCATCTCTAAGTAAATCCATGGGGATGGAGGAAGATGTTAATCATGAATGAAGTTAAGGAAATCCAGTACTTAACTCTTCGATGAAGCCATCCAAATATGAAAAACCATCCAACAAACCGTTTATCTTCTCACTGTGCAGGTCGCCTGACAACGATGTGGATGATCTCCCCGCGTAGTTGAGAGAGAGAAATGGAGGAACTGTTAAATAAAGGAGGTAGTAGTATTAATATTCAACAAGTTGCTGCAGGCCATAACCATAGAAAGGTAAGATCCCTCGTCCTCCTCCATTCCCCATTTGAAGGCTTTCGGCTAAAGCTAGTGACAGAAAAAAGAAAAAAAAAAAAAAATATATATATATATATATATATATATATATAATAAAAAAGGGCATGCACTGCACGGATACAGGTACAATGATTCAAGGGTCTGCATCTGCATGCAACTTAATATGATGTGCACGTACGCACTTGAGTGCGAACGTTAATGTTGCAGACTGCGGTTGGGGTGAAATGACATTTACCAATCAATCCGTATTCCATTGTGTTGTACTAGAGACGATAGTACCACTCTTACTGCAAGTCTGCCAACAATTCGACTTGAATCAGCTGCAACACACCAAACCCGTGCAAGAGACGACGGAAGGCCCAGTGAACTATTTCCTGGTTTCACGTGGCAAGATGGTCCCGTTGAACATTAGATTGCCTCAACTTCACTAGCGGTTTTGTTTGTCCCCACGACCACGAGACTACTGATTGATCGAGCTACCATATGATACATTTATTTTCAGCGGGCTTACAACCACAACCCACAAGATACGATCGAGCTACCAAAACTCATCCCTTCATTTGTATAGGCCTTTTCATGGAAGATTGAACCACGTAAATGCTCTACTTGAGCCCCCTTCCCCCAGACAAACTTCTTTTTCGTAAAATACAAACGACATCATTACTTTAATATACGTTAGGAGGAGGGGACGATTTGAATGTTAAGACGCATTGAGTTGAAGAGAGAAATACCCTAACCACCAAAGTAAACTAATACTTGCGAGCCCTACCCGAACTCTAGCTGTAACAAGTCTGCAAAGGACCTGAGCCTTGAACTGATTCTGAATTTCTGATTAGCGCTTGGTTAGGAGTGTGATCAATGATCAACCATGCCCTTGTCCACTGGCAAATTTTTTCAATTTATTTCAATAGCTGGTGGATTAAATGGATAGATCATAGGTGGTGACTGGTTTCCTTGTGAAATTTAAATACTTTTTGGAAAGACCATATGTGAAGGAGCTTGTTAAAACGTTTGGGGATAAATCACTAACTGAGAAATATTCCCCAAAGCTAATTTATACAAAATAATACCAATCATAACAATTTTCTCAATTTTCTTTTGCCCAGCTAGCTTGTAACAGGAGATTTGAGATTAGATTCGAGTGTACTCGCACCCATTCACACAGGTATCAAAATTCATTCTAATTTTCAAAATTCTAATACCAATATATACCCAGTATTACATATTACAAGACATTAAACCAAAATAACAAATGAATAATCTCTCAACTCACAAACAAATTTAGTATTACATATTACAAGACATTTAAATCCAAATGGACTCACATATAAATATGTGCTTAATTTAATTAGGAGAATCGAGCGGTTGAGTTTTCTTGGCCACTACTTTTGCTGTTAGGGGAGTGCATCATCATCGTGTTCATGTCCGTTGAGTTTGTTGAAGGAGAGAGCTCGCCGCCGGCGGGTAAGTCAGAAAGAGCAGCAAGCATCCGGCGAATACTAACAGAGCGAGCTGGCTTGAATCTGTGGGACCTCGGGGTAGTTTTGGAGAAGATATTGGATGAGTTGGAAAGGATGAGATATACCAAGCCCTGAACAAGGATGAACATGCCTACCTTCACCAGCACATCTGCGAAGCTGCTTTCCATCATCATCAGCATCATATTTCCCAAAATAAATTAGACAAGTTTGATTGGGTGGAAGTGGACGAGTGAATGAATGAATGAATTGGATTCAATCAAAACTATATATCCAAACAAGTATTCATAAATACATTTATATAGAGATGGGATTATGGAGGGCGGGAGGGAAGGAGGAAGGGAGGGGAGGGGAAATGGAACATGGAAAACATGGAAAACATGGCATGGGATGTTGGAAGGCAAGCAAGCCAACCTCTTTGACTTGCCGTCACAATCTAGAACTTGTGCTTACGTGATTATTATGTTGACCATTTATTGCAAGTTGAAAAGTAAACCAGTAGCTGAGCTGTAAATATATGAATAAATGTTTGTTTGCAAGGAAGGGGAAGGGAAGGAGGCAACTAGTTTGAATTCGTTGTAGTGATTACTGCCACGGCTCTACCGTAGCAAAGCCAATTTCTCTCTCTCTTTCACGCCTTGACATGGAACCGAATTGACTTGACCATTCCTTTTTAACGGTTTTTCTCCTTTCATATCACATTTCTAATGGAAAAATTGGAAATCGTCAAATCCAAATAGTCATATCCATTCACCTTTTCAATCATCCTCTTAACCAAAAAACAGACTAGCACATTTAATTCTAAGAGGCTTAGGCTCGGAAAATCTAAAGAATTAAGGAAAAGAAGAAGACAAAAAAAAAAAAAAAAAAAAAAAAAAGGGCGGCCGCCACAATGCACAAAGTAGAGCCGTGGATTGTTAAAACAGAAGTTGCATTCCTGGGTGGATAAGCTGCTTCACATCCACAGCACACATCACCACAGGCACCTCACAAACTCCACCGCTTCAAAACAACTTTGATTTCATGCATCACCAAACCAAAGAGGCGGACAATCCTTCCATTTATTAACTGAAAATTGAACCCCCAGCTCTGAAAGGGGGAGATGGGGACAGTTGACCTACACCAAGGAACAATCCCCTGCAGATTTACACTTGAGTTTTATCAAGACAATCAACATTCCTCAAACACTTCTGCTATAAATTCCCTGCATTCACATGTTCAAATAGATACATTAGTTAAATCAACAAACTACAACACTTGCTCTTTTAGCTTTTCAAATTTGATAAAATGTATCTCAGGTGACATAAATAGTAATCCCCACTCAGGCCATCACCATTTAAGCATAGAAAGCTAGGCTGGATATGTTCCGAAAGATTCCCCATGCAGACAATTTCAATGTCTTGTTTTTGACTGGAGTAAAACTACTACAATAATAAAGCAAAATAAAGAAAACAAGATTTCGCCCCAACTTCAGGCTGCACTTGCCAGAACCTTGAAAGTGGTACACGAGGCAACTTATGTTACCTTGAATATACTGATCCCAAATTCTGAATATGTCCTGTTAGAAAATCCTCCCAGCACAGACTTCAATATAAATAAACACACGAACCACAATGACGGGTAGAAATTTGTTGATTACAAAAAGAATAGCCAAGTGTGATAGAGGCAAAATGGAAAAGACTAGCTCATTAAAATGAAAAATGATATAACTATCCGGCACTTGTGTTTTGAGTATAGTAGCACTCATAAAACTAAAATATGGATGCCAAATCAGTATAAGGTGGGCGGGAAAATAGTACAGGTGGGTGGGCAACTGGGCATAGTTGCACTACTAAACCCAAGAAAAATAAAATGGCTTTAGTAAACCCTTAAACCAAGACCTTTCTAAATGGCCGATGGCATTAACTTTCTCCTAACAATCCAAGAGCATATCAGACCACAAAAGTGACCTCCAAGTTGTTCAAGCTTCTTAGCAATCTAATAGGAGCCTAAACTCATGCCCTGCCTCAGCAAGAAATCCGATAGGCACAGGACAGGCCTCAGCGGGGGACCAGCAGGTCATGGAATCCCACATTGAGGGAGGAGTTTCAAAAAAATAATTTACTATATATGTGATTGTGAACAGAAAAAGAAAAGTGAAAAAAGCATTCTTGGTCATTGTAAAGAGGTCCCTTTTTTCAAAAGAGAAAGGTGCAAAATATTACGAAATGCAATCCATCAAATTCCAAATTTTCCATGGTTTTCTAGTAGAGTTATTTCTTCAACTCTACAGATATAATTTCCCCCTACAACTTCTCAATGTGGAGGTTACCTGAATCTTCTTCCCATGTTAAACCAGTACATTAGTATATGTTCCCAGTATGCTTACCCAATGATAAGAATTTTTACCATGTAATCTCCCTAGGCTTAAGGTTCAACTTTTGAAACTCAATAAAATATTTCTTTTATAAGTTTAATTTTTTTTTCTTTTTGACCAATTGTCATTTCTTAATGATGTAGATTACTTTACAAGTCTCTAGGACAGACCCTGTATAGGCATCCCAAAGGAAAAAGAAAGTAAACAGACTAGACCATTGACCACTGATCATAGGTTTCAGCCATGATAAATTGGGCATTATAGTACTAACAAGTTACAAAGCTAAAGAAGGGAGCATCTAGGAAACAGCTTGAAGAAGAATAACACTCAAGCCACCCACACAAAACAGTCAAAATGAGCTCAACTGGCAGTCGCAGAGACTTGACTTCACTGGAAGCATAATCTCTGGTATGATCTAAAACGGAACCCAGGAAAATGTTGTCCATACCCATGCATAATATTGTTTACTATTGTATTCTAACCCCACAACACAGTAATCCTGCATAAAAATCAACTCTTTTCTAGTTTTAATCATAACTTTATAATTTATAAACACCAATACACCAGTAATGTTAATTACTTAAAGGCCAATGCTTTTTGCTTCTCTATATCCAAGAATCTCAACGTAGTATAGTAAATCGTGGAGGAAACTGTTGGAAACTATCTAAAACCTGAATAATGTTCTCATTAATATGAATATGAGTCTTTGGTAGCCAACGAACTAGCAACGCTCACTAAATTTTATTCCTTTAAAAGTATTGTAAAATTTTAGATGCAATGTAGTGAATGGGTGTATGTATCTCCAATTGTCCATGTTAAGACTGTTGAGAATGAATGCTAATAAGAGGTTGGGCTACTCCTCATATTGCCAATGGGTTTTATGGTGGAACCTCAACTTTCTTCAAAGACTTGTCTGAAACGGTGGCTTTGTTTTTTGGAACTGCTAATTACGACTAGAAGATATGCTCATGCTTGCTGAAAGCTATAAGACCGTTGATTTGTTTGATTAGTGAAGTACAGAGCAGAAAGCAATCAAAGAAACTCAGTAAGCTGAAAGAAGAAGCTGGGTGTTGAGAGACATGAGAGAGATTGTTGATATGAGGATGCAAGCAAAGGGCAATGCAATTCATAACTTAATACAATACAACACACATACAGCAGAGAGCAGACAACAACAATATAAGATTTGATTAACGACAAAGATAATGAAAAGGAAAACAAACCAACCGTTGAAAGAAGAATCGGCATTGGCATTGAAATTGGGGGCTGCAGCAGGACCCAAATGTGCTTGGTTGGCCATGTGTCTTCCACCGGCCGAAATGTAGTTGAGACGGAGACTGGTTCCATAGGAGGAGGAGGACCCATATTCCGTAAACCAATCGTTGAGGTCCTCGTCGTCGTCATTGTCGAAGTTGAAGCGCAAGGGGGTATGGTGGCCAAGCTGAAGCTGGTGGTGCTGAGTTTCGGTGGGGAGCTGGAAGCGGCAGAGAGGGCAAGAGCTGTGGGAAGAGAGCCATGGGAGAATGCAGTGGGGGTGGTACAGATGGTTGCAAGGAAGCTGCTTGGCGTCGACGGAGTGGTGAAATTGCTCCTTGCAGACGGCACAGAGGAGAAGAGGGTCACGATCGAGCATGGAGGAGGTGATCTTAAGGGTGGGGATGGAGTCGACGGAGGCCTTGGAGGCAGGGAGGGAGGAAGAGGGAACGGAGGAGGAAGAGGCGGTGGCAGAAGGGAGGAGGTCGTCGTGGTTGATGGGGTGGGTGGAGAGGTGGTGGATGAGTCGATGGAGGAATGGGCTGTTGAGGAGGTAGTTATCGCTGTGGGGATGTGGCTGGTGTGGTGGCGGTTGGAGGATGAGGGAGTCGTGCTGAAGAGAATCAGAATCCATGAGCTCCAAGAGGTCGCTGAAGCAGTGAGGGCAGAGAAGAGTATCCCTCTGCCTCTCCCTCTCCCTCTCCCGGGAAAAAGAAGTGGGCAAAGGCAGGAGGCTCACGCTCATGTCGCACTCGTGGCACCAGAACGTCTGATGATGGTGATCATCCATAATCTGATATTCACCAATTTTTGGTAATTTTTTCTGGCAATTTTTGGAAAATGGAGAGGAAGGAAGAGGAGGGTGGAGGCGGCCAGGGACGTCCCACTCACCACCAGGCAGCAGTGCAGTGGGGACTACTTCTTGGATCTTCCTTCGGATTTGGGCTTGCTGATATGAGGGCATTCTCGTCATTACGTTTTTCCTCCCACCTAACCCAAGTTCCCTCAAATCCATTGGAAGTAGAGGGGATTTTCCAGTGTTTCTGAACACGAGCAAATGTGTCAAATATCAATTATGGATATTTGAAAAAAAAAATTTCTCTCTACTTAGACCAACTCCAATGGTAACGTGAAAACTCAAAATTTTAAGTTTTAATCTCACTCGTATACTTAGTACTATGATTTAATGGTATTCTTCATCACTTGTAAGTAAGAGATCGATTCTTGCCAAAAGCAAAATTGAACCATTTTATTTTGGTAAGCCCGTTATAAGGCTTAAGCTCACTCCCCACTCCCTTAATATAGATAATATCTTTTGTTAAAAAAAAAAAAAAAAAAAAAAAAAGGGTTTTCAACTCACTCTTAAGCTCCTTCAATCATTGGGATAAAATATATTTTGGATCAATATTTTTTTTTTTTTGGGCAAAATTTGACCCGGAAAATAAGTCAAGGTTAGTTATTGAGACCCAGTTGATGACATCGTTGGCCACTTGAGGAAAAACCAACAACTAATTTTTTTTATTGGACGACCCTCATGGTTGTCTGTTAGTTCAACCAATGGTCCAACTTCAATTTAAAAAAATAAATAAATAATAAATACATTTAATCCAACCATTGAGATTGAATATGCACAAATCTAACAGCAAAAATTAAATTCAATGGTTAAAACAATTAAAAAATTATTTAAATTAAAATTCACCCATGAACTATAAATACCTATGTTATTGTTCAAACAATTCTTCTTCTTTTTTTCTTTCTATGCACCTATGTATTTGTGTTTACGAATGGGTTATGTTGTGCGGTTTATCTTGTTCTTTCATGCGGTGCATATGTGTAAGAATAAGGTAGGGTTAGTAATTTTCATTATTTATCAAAATTTAAATATTTTTAGGTTAAATGTTCATCAAAATAAATTAGGATAATCTACATAAATTGTACTTTTCAAAAAAGTTACCAAAAAAATCAGGGTAAAATTATTATTTAATCATCTCGGGCTAAAATTTTAATCCAAAACATTTGAGGAGAAAAACTATTTCTACGTTAGAACCTAAATTTTCTGGGCTAAAAATTTAGGTTTTAAACCCGATCATTGGAGTTAGTCTTATATAATAACATATGACATATCGTCCGTATTCCGGCACATTGAAAAATCTCTCTGAAGGTAGACACGTTTCATGTTACTTTGTTTGTATTACAAGTCAATGCTCTTCGAGATTGTTTATGTAGTAAGCATATTTGTTAATAACTAAACTTTTTTCTAGAAGTGGTTTCATTAGAAACACGCTGGAGTTGAAGTGCCTTGGAAAAAAAGTATATGATATTTGTTTCTTCAAAAAAGTATATATATATGATCAAAAGCACTTTCAATTTTTTATGTAAAATGAAACCAAAAGAATTTATACTTATTAGAAAGCGTTTGTAATTTTTCAGAAACAATTATAAGCATGACAAATGATGTATAGGAAAGTTTATTCCAAAAGACTATGATACATGTGTAAGAAAGTATTGAGAATGAATCACACACTGATGCGAAAAGGGACATTGCATGTGCTTATAAGTAATTGGGTTACTTCCTATACTGCCAATTGTTGCGGGTGTGGAACCTAAAATAATTCCAAAAATTCTAAAGGTAACACGTGAACTTTTTCTCTAGAAAGACAAAATTGCCCTCATTAAATGGGCATACTTCTCATATACTCCCACGCACAGCTCACACCCCTGAAAGTCCCTGCAGCTGAATACGATTGCCCACAACTCACTTACCATTAGCAAGGAAAAGTCAAAGCATTAAAGATAAGGATTGATTACCCAAATCCTATCTTTAATACATCCTAATTGAAGATTGACTCCATTTAAGTAAGTAATCCCTATTTAAATCAATTAAGGATACTTACTTCATTATCTCAAGATATTATTTCCTATTGAATATCTTGAGAATATTTCTCCATAAAACCTTGGCCAATAGGATGCCGCCATGTGTAGGGTAAAACCCTAACACTATGGCCGCCCTCTCCTCCTATATATTCCCCCAATTCTACCAATTTTCGGTAAACTTTTGCTACCCCTGAAAGCCCTAAACACTTTACTCTTCTAAGAGAAACTAACTTAGGCATCGAAGATCCATTGGCCTAACTCCCCCACCTCACGGGCTCGTGAGGCTTAGGTCCTTGATCAAAGGTGTTGATTATTTTGCAGATGCATTTTCGTCAAAACTAGAGACAACGAAAATTTGCATTGACAACGAGTTCCCCAATTTAGTGTCTGCTTTATATCTCCCCCGCGTCAGCAACCCAGACAATCACCCATGGTAGCAAGCTCCATTCCACCAACGGCTACTCCTACTCTTACGCCATCTCTAACCGAAATAGCTAAATATAGCCCCGTCCATAATTATAACTCTGCAAAATATTATTTTTAAATGAATAGTATCATGTTATACTTATATACCACATCCTCCAACTTAAAGGGCTAAACATAACTCCCTTAATAATTTATTAGTTTTAAGTTTATTGATTAATTTAATTAAACTACATTTGGAAGTTTTTAAATTTAGCTGTTGAATTTGAATCAATTATTGCAACTGAGGAGCTCATCCCCCCCCCCCCAAAAACAAAAAAAAAAGGGCTAAGAGGTGGGCTACATATGGCCAGCCTGATGCTCATTTGGCCAAATAAGTGGCTTAATGGGCTACATAGAATTATAGCTCAGCCTTCGGTTGAAGATGCCCTTACTTACCGTCAGCAAAGCCTTTCCCATCTTCAAATTATAACTTTCCTTGATAACAAGAGGTAGGCAAAGGTCTAGTTAGTGTGCCTGTGATTGGGATGCTAAGAGTAATTCCAATGTGTAAGGGCTTCCCATGGCAATTGGCAATTGAATCCCCTCAAGTGAATAGTAACTACCTTTAATGAACAGTAATTGCCTTTTGCATCTCCACCTCTAAACTAAATAGCCATGACAATAGGCAATAAAATGTTACTATTTTTTATTTTATAAAATAATAAAAATTTTAAATTTAAATTTTGAATAAGATTTTTAACCGATCTCGTCACACCACGTGTCATTATTCGAAAGTACCATTTTTGTGAATAGATTTCAATAAGATTTTTAACCAATTTTATCACGCGACTTGTCCTTACCTATTTAGAATCGTTAAAAATATTGAAATGTGGTATAAGGTGGGAGAAAATGGTAAGGTATTTATAAAAAAAATTATAATTTTTTTTAAAACTTTTTTTGGATTTTTAATTAGTTTTTTTTATTATTAACTTAATTAATCTGGACCGTCGTATTACAAAAAAAATCTAACAGTCCAAAATGAGACACATGGGCCACCCAAACATTTCTGATTTTTTTTCTTTTTCTAATTTTTTTAAAGCCTAAAAAATTGGACCGTTGATCGGGAAATTAAACGTTCCAGATTCAAAGTGATTGAGTGAGGCTGACATGCGGGCCCAATATTCTGAAAATATGCCTGAGAAGTGCCCCCACACGCTTGACGCAAATTTTTTATAATGTGGCTGACGTCAACATCACTCCCTCTCAGGCACTCGGGCCTTGAACTCCCGCCTACCCTCTCCCATGGGCTTCATCTTAGCTCAATTGCCCGAATGGGCTGGAGCTAGTTTGGGAAGGGATTATATTACAAATGGAGCATGTCCACAGGGCAAAAGAGCACAATGGAAGTGCTCTAAAGAGGGTTCATGATAATTATGAAATTCTAATCTATTATATTCAGAGTATGATAGGTCAAATCCTAGATCTACTATATTGTTAGGATTTAAGATTTAATTTATAGGAGATGAAGCTTTGCGGTGTTACATCCCACATTGCCCAGAGGAGTGGATCCTCTAAGCATTATATGTATATTCTCATCTTAACCTAACACGAGGCTTTTTAGGAGCTCACTAGCTTTGGGTTTTGTAAGATCTCCAAAGTTAAGCGAATTTGCGCAAGAGCATTTCTAGGATGGGTGACCCACTAGGAAGTTCTCATGTGAGTTCCCAAAACAAAATCGTGAGGGTGTGGTCAGGGCCCAAAGCGGACAATATCGTGTTACGGTGGAGTCAAGCCCGGGATGTGACAATTTGGTATCAGAGCCAATCCCTGGCCAGATGTGTGCCAACGAGGAGTGGATCCTCTAAGCCTTATATGTATATTCTCATCTCTACCTAGCACGAGGCCTTTTGGGAGCTCACTGGCTTCGGGTTCCGTAGGAACTCCGAAGTTAAGTGAGTTCGTGCGAGAGCATTTCCAGGATGGGTGACCCACCGGGAAGTTCTTATGTGAGTTCCCAAAAACAAAATTGTGTGAGTTCCTAAAAACAAAACCGTGAGGGCGTGGTCGGGGCCCAAAGCGGACAATATCGTGCTACGGTGAAGTCGAGCCCAGGATGTTGTGGGCACCCGGGCTGGGATGTGACATGCGGACTGCGAGGATTCTCTTATTTCATCTTTCCATCCTCTTCCATCACTTTTTCTCACATTCTCTATTTTGTCTTTCTCCTTCTATAAAAAATTAATATAAGATGCTGATGTGGTTTAACCGTGACAGTTCAAATAAGAGGAGAGGGAAGGGGAGAGAAAAAAAGATGGGAGAGAATCTTACTCTGTCAGGGATGCTGTTAGTGACATAAAGGTGGCTGGCGTTAGGGTCAAGGTCGAGGTTGCGGTCGGAGTATGTGTGGATATCGATGGGCGATAGTTTTCCCTGTTTTGATTTTAGTTTTGATTTTTCAATTTTATTAATAGTTAACAGAGTTAAGTTTGAGGTTAAGTGATTGGACACATCAAGAAACAAGTAAAGAGACATGAACGAGATACCAAATTGGGGACAACAGACCCTTAGTCATTGCCAATTAGTTTAATGGCGGAACCTCAACTTTCTTTATGGTATCAGAGTAGGTTGTCCCATTGTTTGGACCTGATTTTACAATATCGGCATGAGCAATCAAGGTCGTTGAATAAGCAGGTTCTAGACAGTTGGATTTCATATTTTTCTAGATATTACTATTAGATTTTCGTAGTAATTATCTATGAAATATATTTTTGGAAGCAAAGGAGATCAATTCCAGTTCGAATTGCTACACTTACATGATGATTGGTTTGAAAGCTAACATGGCGGGTTAAGAGACTATTTTCCATGCATTTCAAGCATAAGATAATAGTTGGAAATGGAGACAAAAGATGGCAAAGGTGGATAAGGGCCGAATTTGCTCGGAACTAAACCATACATGCAGGTTATCTCGGTAATGGTGGTATCTGATGATTACCAAAAGATAATTGGAATGGCAATAGGTGTGACCATATGGGTTTTGAAGAGATAAAAATTGGTAAAGAATGAAAGAATATTCTTTTGTTTTCATATCTGATCAAAATAACAATGTGCATGCAGATTGAATGTTTGTCAGATAATAGAATAAGGAAATAAAGATGAGAATAAATAGTCAAAGGATGGGGTTGCATGCAGATGTGTGGGTCTAAGTTTGAGATGATGAGATTTCATTGGTGCATAAGGCTCCAAGAAAGCTTTGAAGCTTTAATCATGTGGAAGGCTTTACAGTTTTGAAGTTTTCAACATTATCTTTAAGAAATTGGGAGATATATGCTTTGAATTATCTTGGAGAAAGTGAACGGCAGAGAGATATGATGCGCAAAACTTGAGATAAAGTTTGAATACAGGATGATGTTCCCTATTGTTGGATTGTTGATTGGACTCTACAAACACCATCAGGTCGTGACAAGCAGATATCCAACCTTATAAATACAAGACTCAGTGCATCGTTTATGGCCCCTTAAAATCAACACATAAATTGCCCTACGTAAAGCTTCTTAACAACCTTGAGATTTTTTCCTTTTCCCTTTTCTTCCTACCAACACATCTTCAGTTTGGATAAATAGCACTGTGAAGGCAATTGGTGACATCTTCAGTTTGCATAGGCATCACTGGTGCCGTAGAATCAGCCGACCGAGGAGCACCTTTAGTTTGGATAGATAGCACTGCTTTGAGGCCGACTGATTATTTATCCAAGTCTCGGTTAAGAAGGATTTTCGAGTCCTTGTTGGCAGAGGTCATCTCATCAGCCTTCTCGCCGAAGTGAGGTGTTACTAAGTTACTAGGCTCAGCACATTTAAAACCGAGTTTTGTTTTATGATTGGATATTCACAAGTACATTTCATTGATCGACATTCCGACGGCCGAACCACATTTACGATCAAAACATTTATCTCTTTCGAGTATTTGTGTCCATATAGTCTGGTACCAGTTTAGCGTACTTATATTCTCACGAATATAATTACTAAAACCGAACCCGGTGTCGACGATTTGTGAATTTTGCAACACTAGCAACCTTGTCTTTAGGCTCTAGAACCTAAAGGCCGAGACGTGTTCCTTCCTCAACCGCAGTTGTAAGATCAAGAAGTCATCAGCCTACCCAACGCCAGATCAATATATTTTACTCCTCGGCCGACAAGTTGGCATACCATGCACACAATTGAATGACATAGTTAGCTTATTAATTACTCAGCTTGCGAGCCGCGTAGGCTTAGTAGTTTTTAGGGTCAACACCCATGTATGAAGTCCAATGGCTACACATGTTGTGTGGGGGCCTCTCACATACACATGTAATTTGGACTCAAAACATGGGAGATTGAAGTAATTTGCATAAAATTGAAAGTCTTTATCAATAGAGAGAACTAAAAACATTGTATAGACCTAGAAACACGAATATGAAGTAAAGAGTCAGTAAGAATTAAAAAAAAAAGAAGAAGTTATAACTAAAGAAAAGTTACCAGAACAAGGAAGGAAGTGAAGAATAGTGCACCACAATAAGAGAGATGGAGAGAAAAATGAGGTCTGATCTAAAACAGAAAATAATTTAGATAGAGAACACACTTGATTTTAAGGGTATTGGACTGATATGTAGCACCAATATATGTTAGAGTAGCAAGGAAAACAAAGGCAGGATGGGACGGGGGCCATTTTGGTCCATTAGTGGCTACGCCGTGTTGTATGTCACACGATTTGTATTGTTCACGTGGACTTTAAAATTCATAAACGTGACGGAGTATGTGGAGAATAAATTTCACATTAACGAGAGAATGAACCTTGCATATGCTTATAAATAATTAAACTACTATCTATATTATCAATTATTTTATAATAAAACCTTAATTTTCTTCAAAAAATTTCTTTCAATGACTTTGAGATAAATAAATTACTTGAGATATACCGGTACAAAGACATTTCAAAGGATAATACTAAAGAGATTAAATTTGTAGATAAAATATTATAAACTAAATAATATAGAAGTTGATAATTAGATTATTACCTTAATAAAACATACTCATTCTTATTAGTGACTTATCATTAAATTTACAAATTTTATCTACAAAATATGCCTCTCAGCGTTTTCCATATATAAAAGTTTCTTGCATCCAATCCATACCATCTCACTTTCTTTCTCACCTAGAAGGTTTCTTAAGTCGAGTCTCAACCTAACTATCCCAGAGCTGAAACATGTTTGATATATCGTCACTCGAACCAGCCCTGTCCTGTCAGTTCAGATATCCCCCGCTTTCACTTCTACCTCCTACTTCTGACCTTCATTTCTTAATTATTAATTAAGCTAGTATTACACACTTTTATTGTACTTGAAAAACAATCAACATTTGTCATTGAATAGTAATATTTGTCTTTACTTGTAAGTAATAAGTTTTAGGTTTGAATTTCGTGAATGACAAATTCGATACCAAATTAAATTGTCTATTATGTAGTTTAGCTAAACTTCCCCCTCGTTCTAATATAAAATATATCATTGTACTAAAAAAAAAATCAACATTTGACTTGGGCACATTTTATCTTGTCCCATTCATTGGCTTGTTTGGTAGATCTAATGGAGATGTTGCCTACGCCATTTTATGGGGAATAAAACATAAAATGAATATTGTGATATTTTAAACTCATTTCAAAGAAATGTCAATGGTTTGTTGAGATCCCTTTATAATTTATATATTACTCACAACTTAAAATGGTACACTAATGGGTTATCAAAATGTTATATATTAAGGACAATTAACATTTGAATCCCAATCTCGTAATTTGATATCATCATCAATTTTATCATCCAGCAATATATAACAAAACATAAGGCCAATGAACAATGGAGAGCAGGACTAACATTCAATTTATTTATGATTATTTGTTTAAAAAAAAAATTATTTATGATTATGATCGATGACTTTCAGGTTTCTTATTGAAAGGAAAACTTTTGAAAGAAAAGAAAAAGGACAAGAACAGAGGAACACTAAGCTAGACCAGAGCCATGCCAGCACTCACACGTGGCACAAGGCCAGCAAGTCTAGCTAGAAACTAGAAGCCTACAAGCCAGCAGCGCCAGTGCCGGCGGAGGAGATTGAGTGAGAGGCCTTGGCAGTCTCCAGATCTGCAGCTTTCTTGAGCAAGTTCTGGTCGTCGTCCTCCAGAACCATCTGGATGGGGGAGGAGCCCAGCCCGTCGGCGATGGCCAGCATAATCTTCTTCATCTCCTCCCTGAACTCTTCCAGATCCACCGTCCCACTCTGGTCGCTGTCGAACTTGTCGAATATGGAGTCGTACAGCTGCGTCAGCTGCTCCGGCGGGGTGGCCACGTCGATGCCGAAGTGGGCCTCGATGAGCCTGAGGGACTCGAAGGCTTTGCGGAGCTCCGACCGGGAGAGGACGCCGTCGCTGTTGAGGTCGAGGGCGGCAAACTGGTCGTCGACGCTCTTCTTGAACTGGGCCTCGTCACTCACGAAGTCCTTCACAGTGCTTCCGTCGATTATCACCACTCCCATCGATGATTGATTCAGTGATTGTGTTGTGAAATTCAAATTAAGATGTGATTGTTTGGTGTTGGTGTTGGTGTTGTTTGTGTTTATTGATGGTGGAGATGGTCCATGGATGAAGGAGAAGGATAATATATGGATTGGTGAGCGGTGATTGACTAGAGATTTTTCAGTGGGACTCTAGGTGCTACACGTGTCGTTACGTGAATAATGAGATATGTGTGTTAAAAAGTTAATAACTTAAAAAATAGAATTTTTTATCACTTATATAAAAACAAATGATGTACTATCCGTATTTTCGTAACAACTAAAAAATTCTCTATGACTGACATTGCTGAAGTGGCACCTGCCACGTGCAGTTACTGTGTGTGCATAAATAAATGTACACAAAGTAGCCATTATTATTTAGAAAGCAAGTAAAATGTCTTGGCAAGCAGAATAATTGTCATGTGTCAAAGTAGCCATTATTATTTAGAAAGCAAGTAAAATGTCTTGGCAAGCAGAATAATTGTCATATGTCGTGGAGTGGAATAATAATCGAATAATATTTTGGTGATGGAAAGGATCAAGGGATGGGAAAGTTTTCGAGAAATTTTTATGATAGGAAGTATATTATATGTTTTTATGTAAGTGATAAAAAAATTTATTTTTTTAAATTATTAATTTTTAATACACATATTTCATTATTTATATAATAACATGAGATTTTTTAGTGTAATCGTTATACAGGATGGTACAGCACGTGTCTTAATGTCAATGGTGAGATATGTGTGTTAAAAAATTAATAATTTAAAAAATAAAACTTTCATCATTTACATAAAAATACGTGATGTATCATCCGTGTTTCCATCATAACTAAAAATTTCTCATTATTGACATTGGTGGAATGGCACCTGTCACGTGCAGTTACTGTGTGTGCATAAATAAATAAGAAATAAATGTACACAAAGTAGCCATTATTATTTAGAAAGCAAGTAAAATGTCTTGGAAAGCAGAATAATTGTCATGTGTCGTGGAGTGGAATAATAATCGAATAATATTTTGGTGATGGAAAGGATCAAGGGAAGGGAAAGTTTTCGATAAATTTTTTATTGTTATGAGAATGCTTGTGATACATTATATGTTTTTATATAAGTGATGAACAATTTTATTTTTTTAAATTGTTAATTTTTTAATACACATATCTCATTATTTATATAATAACATGTGATATATCATTCTTTATGCCGATCACATTGAAAAATCTGTGATAGCTTTCGGTTTTAGATGAAGCGGTGGTGGTGGTAGACTGGCAGTGGCACGGGTCCTGGTGGGTAGAACTGTAGATGGGATGGACTCATGCATGATGACACACAATGCAACACGTTGCTCTTCCACCAACTGCCACTTTGACAATTCGGCAATTTGGCACCCACACCAAGAGAATACTGTGCTCATCATCTTATTTGTCATTATTAGATAAACTTGAATTTCAAGATTCATGTAATGGATAATCACAAATCTTAAAATTCAAACTGATGATAAATACAATAGTAAACATACACCAAATAAATAGTGTTGAGCAAAAATGCACCCCTCTCACCAAACACCAAACACCAACACCAACACCATTTGAGTGTAACATTGTAAATTACCTCCCCGTTTTGTTTGATTTGAAAATTGGTCTAAAAAGACACAAAACAAAGACTTCATATTAGGCCAGGACTCAATTACTTCATTGGGCTGGGTTAGCCACATATATCATCTCTTTGATATTGGATCTAAGGAGGGGAGGGGAGGAGGAGCCTTTCGGTTAATTAATATCATGCTTAATTTTTTACAATAATAGTTTTACTAAAGCTGTGCTCCTATAGTCTTATTGTATAGCATTAACCGTATTTGGGTGTGTTGTAGTTTTTTTTTTAATTTTTTTTACATACGATATTATTAATACTAAGGGTGAGAATGTGCTAGTAATAATGTAATTCGAAATCACCTTTAATGAGAATCGAATTTAAGACCTCTCACTTACAAGTTACAAGATTGAAGAAGAATCATGAGTAAAACAAAAATACTTGTACAAATTGGCAAAGTAACCATATCCCTAATGGTGATTTTTATCTTCTTAGTAGGATTTATCTATTACACAATTTTTAACTATTAAAAAAAATAAAGAGAGTAGATCTCTTTCCTTTTTTTTTTCTTTTTGTATTTTTTAATATCACTAGAATTGTAGTAGTATGTGGTGGGTGTGATGTAGTTACTAACAAGGTTTTCATAGATGAGATGTTTTCCAAATTTGAGTCTATAATAGAGGAAGTCTCATAATGGGTTCTCGCCGCACTAAAGCACTACTCTGAGGCTTCCCCTAATCTCTGAACTTCACTTCACACCAGTAGTTCCCATTCCGGTTTTACCTTACATGTCATATTTATTTATTTTCCGACGAATGTTTCTAGTGGTCACTTCACCACTCCAAGTCAAATTCACAACTAATTCCTATTGCATGTATATTACTATTAATTGCTAGCTGCTAGAAGCCTACAACCGGAATTGCAACATACACCCAAAATATAACATCACTAATTAACAGCTCTAATAGTTAATTAAAATAAAGTAAAGGGGTTATTGAACTGTAATCCTTTAAGAAGATTAAAATTTAATAAAAATCTGATGTTAGAGTATATATTTGATACTGTGCTCGATGCACATATGCAGCAATGGCAGCCACCATCACTATACTTCCTGACCAGATTTCATGATTTTTCCAACCAAGATAGGCCCTGGGAATCCCCCTCTCTCGTCCTTTCTAGTTTGGGAAAGATTTTGAAGATATAGGCCTGTGTTTGTAGGATTTAAGGACATAAATCATGAGGGGATGTTTTCCCTAGTTTTTCCGGCGAGATTTCGAGGTTTTGCAGGCCATTTCCGGTTAGCTCCGGCCATGGCTCTGTCCCTCATTGGTATATTTTGAACCTTTAGTTCATGAGCTTCATTTTGACTTTTATTTCATTGAAAATGGCTGAGTTTTGAGCTTGAACAAAGCTCTGGTTCGCTGCCCAGTTTCCGGCCGAATCTAGCAACTTGCAACCGGGTTGACTTGGCTCGATTTAAGAAAAGAAAAGCCCAAAACTTGATCCATGGGCCAACCCAATCCTTTAGCCTATTAATCCTAAACTAGGATCCAACCTGTCCCACTTCCTAATGGATTTGGAATATTCCTGAAATATTCCTTGCGTTGATTTTTTTTAAATTTTCTTGAAAACCCTCCTAGGCTAATTTCGACGCCCTGAATTTGTTTTTGACATCCATTTAGTGAATTTCCAAAGTTTTAACGTAGTTGACTACCGGGGCATCTCGGTTGACTTCTTAGGGTTGACCGTTGACTTTTACAAAATTTGCCCAGGACCCTTCTTAGCATGTTTCGACGCGCTGATTTCGAATATGCCGTCAATTTCTTCAAATTGAAATGTTTTAATTCATTTTGAATCTGTGAGTGGGTTTTTTCTTTCATAAAGTGTATGTATATATATTATTTGAGTTGGCATACATATATTAATAATGTCTTTTCCATGCAATGGCATAATTAAATTGACGTTATAAGAATTGTCAAAATGGTGAAAATTATGAAATTATTCTAAATCCTGCGGGATGCACATGTATGCGTACTAATATGAGATGTTTTAGCCAGGCTTCACGTGTATGTTTACATCGCACTGCACACTCACTTTGGATCCATTGTAGGTGCCAGTCATGTCCTAGATTGCTATAGGCAATTAAGACTCGTACGTGATGCGCATAGTGCCAGTCTTCATGTGATTGCAGTGCTAGAGTGTAAATCATTGTTACACTCAGTCCTGTTCATGTTAGAATATCTTTGCATGAACTCGTATGTCAGCATACATTGATGAGCACTCGATTTGACATTCGATTATGTGATTTGTTGTGATTACCAGATTATTATGTGTTTATTTTGGAGATGTTGTAAAATGTTGTATGCTCGAGATATTATTGTTTACAATAAGTATTTTCATACTATACGTAGTATGTTATATTTGGAAACTATAATTATTTTACAGCGAGGGGTTATTATGTTTTCGAAAAGGTTTTTACAAAACTTTATGTTTAGGCCCACTCACCTTGTTTTTCGCCCCTCCAGGTTTTGGTGGCTGAGTTTTTGTGTCGACGAGGATTCTTGGCAAACTTTGGTATAGGTGATTACCTTCAACGGTATAATTTTTATCCTACCTTTGTTGTACTTTACTTATGCTCTGACATCACATGTGAATTGGGTTCATTCCTGCTCATTAGTGCATTCTTCCATTTTGACACTTTAGGTTTAAATTTACTCACATTTTTCACATCACTATACTTTATGGCTTCGTCATCCTCCTGGTGTTGCCCAGCACAGCTCGATTTGGAGTCTAGGTGGACATTCCGGATCGGGGTGTGTCAACATAAGTGTAAACGAAAAGTCCGTACCTAAACATATTATATTAAATAAATGTACCGAAATGTCCGTATCTAAATATTATGCTAAATTAGGGTAGCGAAATGTCTGTACCTAAACATATTATAAAAAAAAGGAAGACATTGAATGCATATGCTAACATTAATTAGAGTTTAGGGACTAGAATCAAATTTTAGTGTTGCTCTTACACGATTATATGAGTTCAAATCCCATCAACCCTCTAATATAACAAATCTATCATTTGATAAAAAAAAAAAAAAAAAGAAGAACTAATTTACTAGATAATTAATTAATTAACAAATGATGGAGTTATGAAAGGAGCGGAGGGTCAGACTCCCCTCCTTCCGGAGTCGGACTTGGTCAAAGACCTAAGCCTCACTAACAATTTCATCTTCATCCGCTGGCTGCTCTGATCCCCTTCAGCTTCAGCCCCAGCAGCCGCCTTCTTCTTCCTCCCCATCCCCCGCGGTGACGACGTCACCCAATTTTCCGGTGACCCACCACCCACTCCCACCAGCACGCTCTCCGGTGACGATGACCTCATCCTCACCGTCTGATCATCACACGATGAGTAAAGCTCCGCTAGTTGATCTCGGCTTCCCCCATCAACACCCAAGTTTCTGGCCTGCATCGCCAACACCACCTCCTTCATTGCCACGTCAGCATCCCCTCTGTTCCTGAGCAGAATCTCTCCCACCTGGGCCGGCGTGAGTACCCCGCCCGACCTCACGCACCCGTCCGCTGCCTCGAAGAGCGGGTGGGCATCGAGCCCCAAGTAGTTCTTTGCCAGCTGCCGGAAGGCGTGGGGACCGCAGGTGCCGAGGCTGACGTGGACGTCCATGCGTCCGCAGCGCAGCAGCGCCGGGTCCACATTGTCCCTATGGTTGGTGGTGAACACTATGATGCGTTCATCTCCGCAACAAGACCAGAGGCCGTCCGTGAAGTTGAGCAACCCCGACAGCGTCACTCTCCCTCCGCCGTTTTGCTCGTCGTCGTCCTGCTTCTGCTGAGCCTGCTTCCTCGATGATCTCAGCCTAGCCTTGGAAGTTGAATTCGAGATCATTTGCTGCTGCCTGTCAGCCGTCAGATCGAGGGAGCAGTCTATGTCTTCTATGACTACGATGGAGCGGTTGGTGGTCTGTATGAGCAGAGCTCGCAGCTCCGAGTTGTCAGAAACCTTGGTGAGCTCGAGGTCGTAGACGTCGTAGCACAGGTAGTTGGCCATGGCAGCGATCAAGCTCGACTTGCCTGAACCGGGAGGGCCGTACAGAAGGTAACCCCGCTTCCACGCGCGTCCCACCCTGTGGTAAAACTCTTTGCCCTCGGCAAACGCCGTGAGGTCTCCGGTAAGCTGGTTCTTGAGTTGGGGTTCGAGAGCGAGGGTTTCGAAGGTGGAGGGGTGACGGAAGGGGACGGAGACCCAGCCGGACTCGTAGGAGGCGTGGCCGTTGTTGGTGAAGAGCCGCCTCTCACGAGAGACGCGCTCGAATTCCTCGGCACGTGCGGTGAGATGGTGGAGGTAAGGCTGGAGGAGGGCGTGGCGGTGGCGCTTGGGGAGCTTGAGTACGAAGGAGCGCTTCTCTTCAAGGGAGTCTTGGACGGTGTCGACGTGGTGGGTCCAGGAGAGGGTGAGGCCGCGGAAGGAGTCGTGGACGGAGTGGTTGGGGGCGACGGTGAAGGAGATGCGGTTGGAAGAGTTGGAGCGGGAGAGGGTGAGGCGGGAATTGAATGAGGAGGAGGAGGAGGTGGCAGAACTGGCAGAGGCGTTGGCGTTGACGAGGGAGTTGAGGTAGAGGTTGACATGGCGGTAGAGGTGATTGAGGTGGACGCCGCAGTAGCCGTTGAACTCGGGGACGTCGAAGTAGGAGTAGGGGGTGAGCATGTCTTGGAGGGACTCGTATAGGGAGTGGAGGAGGGAGAGCAGCTGGGAAGGCAGCACATTCTGGAGGACTGTCAGCAGCCCCAGCAACGACCACAGCTGTGACAACATCTCCATGTATAAATCTCTAATCGTTTCTCTGGCTACCTATCTTTTGTCTTGCTTGCAGACTTGCAGTTGCAGCCGCTATATATGGTACGCAGTGATCACTGATCGATTGCGATTTTGTTTGTGTCTAGAAGTAGTTGTAGTAATTAAGTAGGTGCCATAGAGATGGTCTACTTAATGTGATGTGAGGACTTTACCTTCATGTATGGAAATGCATTATTTATTCTTATATGTACTATGGGAGAAGAAAACAAATTATTAAGCAGGGGCCGGGCCCAGAGTTGCATGCATTCTAATGTGTAAGGATAATGCTAGGAAACCATTACATTTTATTGTGTAAGAATAATGCTACGGAAATCATTAAATTTTATAAATAATATGATGTGGTGGTTGATGATTGTATGATTAAGTTTCGATTAACGTGTTTAAATTTTATTGGTTACATATTACAAAATCTGTAAATTTAGTTAAAATAATTAGTCTATCTAGAATTACTTAATGTGTAAATAAAGGGATATTGTGGGGAAATATGTCTGACTGGTCACTGGGGGCGTCTTTAAATCTCATTCACCATATTAATATGGAGTTCAGATCTGCTGTTAGAGGTGGCTGAAAAAGCATCAGCAAAGCAAAAGAATATGGCTAATAAAGATGATGCATGAAAGCAGAAAGCCGACTCTTCTTCTTTTGCTTTTTGATATTCTCTATCCCCATTCCCTAGAGGTTTTCATATTCTGCTTCACTCTCTCGTGTACAAGGTGAGTACATGAACAATAAAACCAATTCACGACACAAGTCCAACTCTTAATGAAGAGGAAAGTTGAGGTTTTGTCACAATTTGATAAATTTTTAGGTTTATTATGATTAATCAACATCATCGATATTATTTCAACCATTTATTGTATTGAATTTTACAAAAGTTTCAGCGATATTAGTAGTGAAATTCTTACATCTAAGTTGTATATTATTTCGTTATATTTTCATTTGTAATAATCTATTCTCCAACGTACAATTATATAATGATATTAAGAGTAATTCAACTCTTTATACATATTTAGTAAAGTTCAAGTATTGAACATTTTTTGCAGTTCACACACATGTCATGTCATATTGAAGTCAAAACCTTAGCCAAGATCTTATAAGAATAATTACATAAGCTAATCAGTCGGAACTAGGAAACATATTTTGGATTTTGAACTTTCGGAATAAGCACAATGTGAGTTGCGTTGAGTCGGCAGGATTAACCTCCCCAAATTCCAGCATCCAAACCAGAGCATTAACCTCCTCCCTAATACTCTCCCAAAAAGAATGATAGAACACACCATGGAAGCCATCAGGTCCCGGAGCCTGGAGACTGCCCATTTGCAGCGTTGCTTCTTTAATTTCCACATCCGAGATTGAAGACATCAAGGACTCATTCATGCTAGTGGCAACCGATGGAGTTACACACTCCAATATTGATCCCCACTCCCTTCTCCCCGCAAAGGTGAAGAGATTTAGAAAATAGTCATCTATTAGCTTCCTCACTCGATTCAGATGCTCCACCCAATTGCCATCCTCCTTTTTAAGTTTCATCACATGATTTCTCCTCTGCCGTTGCATGGTGGATTGATGGAAAAACTTGGTGTTAGCATCTCCTTCACGAAGCCGTTTAACCCTTGACCTTTGTTGCCAAAAGCTTTCCTCCTGTGCCGATAACCTATCAATCAATTTTGTCTTCTCATGAATCTTATCAATATGTGCTCCCCAATCTTTTTGAAGCTCCCCAAGCTTGGACATAAGCTCCGCAATTTCCTGTTCCCTCATTTTGAATTTCCTTCTACTCTAAGTAATGAGCTGAGATTGACAATCATTGATCTGTTTTTGCCATCGATCAAACGCATCACTACCGCAAGGACGGTCCCAACAAGCTTTCACCAACCTTTTGCATTCTTTATCCTTAGCCCAAAAAGCTTCGAAGTGGAATAACTTTCGACCAGCAGTCCACCGGGATCACACTAGATGATAATAGGGTAATGGTCCGAACCCAAAACAGTACCGTGTGTGACCATAGTATATGGCCAAGAAACTTGCCATAACTGATTGATAAGCCCCTTATCTAACCTCCCCTCCACTAGTTCTCAATTTCTAGTACCTTTCCAAGTGAAGGAGAGGCCATTGAAGTTGAGATCAACCAGCTTTGCCGTGTTCATAAAATCTGCCAGATATTGGGGCCTATTATACAAAACAGCCGTTCCACCAGATTTCTTATAATCCCAAATAAACTCATTGAAATCGTTGCCACATAGCCAAGGAATACTAGAGGGGTTGAAATGAGTATTCATCCAATCCTAAAGCAGTGCTTTCTCCATTCGATAAGTAGTGCCATAGACCCTTGTCACTCTCACCCATCGAGACTCCCTCACTGTTCACATCCGAGCATCAATAACATGCTTTGAAGAAAAACTGATGTCAACTTCCAATTGGTCATCCCACCATAGGCTCAATTCACCAGACTTACCAATTGGGGAAACATCGAAACCATTCTTGAACCCCATTCGTCTTCTTACACCATCAATTCTATGATCATTCGTCTTAGTTTCTGATCGAAAAATCATAGAGGGCCTATATTTCAAAATAAGCCCATGAAGGGCTTGAATTATCGTGTTCGACCCAAGACCACGACAGTTCCAAAAGAGGTAAATCATGGTGACTTTGTGGTTGTTGAAGGCCGACCGCCACCACCTTAAGAAGACTTTCCCTCTTTTCAGGCCAACAATGCCTCACGCTTATGCTCAGAGACCTCCTCCATGAACTCCCACATATCCTAATACCCAATTGGGATGTCCTGTAATTCCTTATCCGCATATATAGCTCACTTCACCATCAAGCATCTTTCTCATAACAAATTCAAGATAATGTAGAGATTGCCCATGAACTATTCCATTTCCTTAAACTAAGGAAAACAAGAAGTAAGTTTGAGCTTGGCATTAAGCTAGATATGCATAGAGTGTATGATCGGATGGAGTAGGATTTCCTTGATGCGGTTATGGAGAAGATGGGTTTAATTCTAGTTGGCGGAAGCTTATCATGGGGTGTGTGAGCTCGATTAACTTTGCGGTAATTCTTAATGGGCTACCGGGCAACAAGTTTGCTCATTCAAGAAGTTTACGACAAGGGGATCCTTTATCTTCTTATTTGTTCTTATTGGTCAGTGATGTTATTTCCAAGATGCTTCAATCAGCGGTGTGGCGAAAACATTTGGAAGGGTTGAAGATGAAGTCGTATGGTCCGATAATATCCCATATTTTCTTTGCTGATAACACACTAATATTTTTGAAGCCCACTAGAATGAACTGTTGCAATCTGGTCAAAATCATTGAAGACTATTGTGCAATCTAGTCAAAATCATTGAAGACTAAGTAAATCTACAAAAATTGTGCTTTTTCTTTAGTGCCAATACGTCGGCGGCAGTGTTGACGGAGTTGGGACAAGTTCTTAATATGCATGTTGTTTCTGATCTGGGGACATACCTTAGTGTTCCTGCCATGTGGAGAAGATCAAAGTGGCAAGATCTTGCTTATGTCAAAGGTAGGATTTTGCGGAAAATACAAGGGTGGAAGCAAAACACTCTCTCTTAAGCGGGCAAAAAGGTATTAATTAAAGCAGTTGCTCAAACAATTCCAGCATGCCACATTTCACATTCTTCAAAGGGGATGAAGACCTGGAGAGACATCTAAAGCACTACCGAAGCTCAATGATCCTCTATCGAAACAACAACGATCTCATGTGCAAGATATTCGCCACCACTCTACAAGGCAAGGCGCAAGATTGGTTCTACACCCTGCCGCCATAATCCATCAGGAGTTTCGACAAATTTTCTTTGGTTTTCACCAAAGAATATTCATCCTATCGCTTGATCAAGAAAAAGTCCTACCACCTGTTCAAAGTCAAGAAGAACCCAAGGAGTCGCTTCGCGACTATGTGAAGAGGTTCAAAGTAGAGAAGGCAAAGATAGTTAGATGCAATGACTCGATAGCTAGAGTAGCCTTTCAAAAAGGACTCCCAGCAGACCACTCGCTGTTCGGAGAATTGATCATGAAAGAAGATCTAACTCTGGTAGACTTTTTCGCTTTGGCGGAAAAGCATGCACTTTGGGACGAGGTTCGCCGATGCACATTCAATGCAAATTCGAGCGATCTTGACTATGAAGTCCCCCACTACTTTGGAGGAAATTCAAGGTCTGACTGGACGAGTAGCCGCATCTGAATCTTCAATAAGCTTTACCTTCATACGAGAAGAGCTGAGGGCCCAATTACCTATATTCCATAGTTCAAAATCTCTCATCAATGCGGAAACCAGTTACCAGAAATTCAAAATGTAACTTTGGCGACAGTTGTTGCAACCCGAAAACTTAAGTTATACCTTTACATGCACTCAATCATCCTCATGACGCACTATTCTGCCTAATCCAGACATGTGATGATAAAGGCGCAGACACTGGCGATGTAAATTTTTTTTTTTATGAATGCAACAACTTAGCTCAAAAGGCACGCCAAGGGTAGACGAACACTAGAAGGACTGTCACATCCGGGCCTGGGCCTCCACCACATCCCGGGTGCGACTCCGCCGTAGCACGATATTGTCCGTTTTGGGCCCCGATCACGCCCTCACGGTTTTGTTTCTGGGAACTCACACGATAACTTCCTAGTGGGTCACTTATCATGAAATTGCTCTCACGCGCTACTCGCTTAACTTCGGAGTTCTGATGGAATCTAAAGCCAATGAGTTTCCAAAAGACCTCGTGCTAGGTAGAGATGAGAATATACGTATAAAGCTTACATGATCCACTCTCTTAGGCGATGTGGGATGTTACAATCCACCCCCCTTAGACCATCTCCAATGGTTGGGCTAAAAGCCAAATATTTTAACCTGGAAAATTTAGTTTTTAGCCCAGAAACAGTTTTTTTGCTCCAACCGTTCTGGCCTAAAATTTTAGCCCGGGATTATTAAAGAATGAACTTAGGCTATTTTTTTTAAAATTAAATTTCAAAAAAAAAAATGTAGACTATTGTAAATTAATTTTATGAACATTTTAATCTAAAAAAATTTAAATTCCGACAAATATTGAAAAATCACTAAATTTTTCACAAAGCAAGCCTTCAACTTTTACCAATCTTTCAACCCTGGGCTAACTTTCAATTCACCAACCTTTCAACACCAAATTTTCAATTCACCAACCGTTCAACACCAAACTTTCAACTTTCATCAATCATCTTGTATATAAACATATGTCCAATATTTGTTGATCACACAACCTTTCAACCTTCAATCATCCTCTATATTCACCAATCTTTCAACTTTTAAAGAGTTTTTGTTTCCTAAAAATCCTTAATATCTCATCAATGGGTGATAGAAGAAGACGTAGCATGGCAATGCAGATGGCGCAATATCAAACAAGGATCGAGATTGAGGATGTAGAATTGTTCAACGCCGAAGTTGAACTTATCAACTCGTTTATGCAATATGAGCACCATGGCGAATCTAGCCATCGTGGTTCTGTCATAGGACGTTCATATGTGTAGTGTGATAGAGAAAAGTGTCATGACCGAATGATAAAAGATTATTTCATCGAGCGTCCGAGATTTCCTGCTTATGATTTTCGAAGGCGGTTTTGGATAAGGAGATAGCTTTTTGAAAGCATCTTGAATGCAGTTGTCAATCATGACCACTACTTTGCAAGAAGGCTAGATGCCGCAGGCCGACAAGGTTTATCACCTCATCAGAAGCTCACATCTGGTTTTCGCATGCTAGCTAATAGGTGCTCTGCAGACTCAATTGACGAGTATTGCCGACTTGTAGAAAGTACTGCTATTGAGAACCTGAAGTGCTTTTATAAGGCAATTGAAGGCATATATGGAGCCATATACCTCCGCAATCCAAATCGTGAAGACTTGAAGAAACTTCTACGCAAGGCAGACAAAAGAGGCTTCATTGGCATGATAGAAAGTCTCGATTGTATGCATTGGGATTGGAAGAATTGTCCTACTGCTTGGGCTAGCCAATTCAAAGGCCGTCATGACAAGCCAATCATCGTGCTCGAGGCTGTGGCGTCTTACGACATATGGATTTGGCATGCTTTCTTCGACGCTCCTGGATCAAATAACGATATCAACGTTCTTTGGTCTTCTCCTTTGTTCGATAATGTTGTCAATGGATGGGCACCAGAATTTCAATATAAGGTAAATGGTAATAGGTATGAGCTAGGTCACTACCTAACTGATGGTATTTATCCTAGTTGGTCTACCTTTGTCAAAAGTTTTTCTCATCCCGATAGTGCAAAGAAGAAATTATTTTCGCATAAGCAAGAGTCTTACTTGAATGATGTGGAAAGAGCGTTCGAGATCCTGCAAGCTTGATGGGCCATTGTTAGAGGGCCTGCACGATTTTGGCAGTCCGAAGATCTCCATTCAATGATGATGACGTGCATAATTTTGCACAACATGATTGTGGAAGATGAGTACATCGTAATTGAAGAAGAGTCAGAAGAAGATGTGGATGATGACCAACCAACACATATGAGAGCTATTGCAAGAGATGTTGAATATCTTGCTCCAACCACATATGAGACCTGACAGGTTAGGGTCACCTTGAGTGAGTATATGAGACATTTAAATAGAATTCAAGCTCCTCAATGTCATGACACACTCTGTAAGGATTTGGTTGAGCATGTATAACGCTGAGAAGGTGAACGTTGATGATGTTGGTTAAGCATTTATGTAATAATTTTAAATGTACTATGTTGTTATTTTTGAGTAATAAATTTAAGTATCTTCTTATGCAAAGTATTTTGTCTAGTACGTTGGATAAATTATTGAATGAAGGTTGAATTATTGAAGGCATCTATTCTACATCAAAGTGTGGAATAATAAGACATAAATTATTGGATAAGTAATAAGACAAAAATTTAATAAAGTACATAAACCACATAAACTTAATACAATCGATAATTCATAAACCACATAATTAATAAACTACATAAATTTAATACAAACGACAATTAATAAACTTAATTAATAAAGCACATAATTCATACACTACATAAACTTAACAATCATATCCACCATCTTCACTTGGTGATGGACTTCGTTGAAATGTTGGGATATAGGGTTCAGAGGATTCATCATCTTGAAACATACTCCTTGAGGCAGATTTTTGCATAATTTCCTTTTGCTTACCACGTAAGAACTTCTTCCTCTTTGGAGTGTATTTGCTGAGGTCCTTCATCATGAATTCAATTTCAAACCTATTTTCCTCCTTATCCGAGATTTCCTTCATTTGCAAACGTCCTAAGCATGTTGCAACTTAAAAACTTGATTTTTTGGTGTTACTCTTGTCTTGTAAATTTCCATTGCTTTGTCACCCTATGCAAAAAATACATAAAAATAATTAGTTGCAACATGATATTATGTACATGACAAATAAAATATCAAGAACAAAACTTACAATTTCTATGGCGCTCCTTCCACTAGCCATGCCAACCACATCTCTCTCCAAGCTTCCATTCCATAAAATGCATGCTTTTTTGATAGTCTTCCACCAATCATAAGCACCATCACCATCCCGCCCGCCGCCATTGCAGTTTTCTTGTAACTTTGCAATGATTTTATCCCACAAAACCTTTTAATTTTGATTTATGCTAACTGCACCATCTTCGCTAACAGAACATGCCAAGCATAGAGCAACATCTTCCTCACAGGTCCAATTACGACCTCTAATATGCTCTCTTGCCATTTTAAACAATTTGGAAATGGTAGAAAGATAAATTGGAAGAATTGTAAGAGAAAATTGAGTTTTGTGTGGATGTTTGAACAAATACATATGTATTTATAGAGTTTTTGGGTGAATTTGAGTTAAATAATTTTTTAAAATTATTTTAGCCGTTGGATTTAAATTTGGACCGTTAGATCTTTTTTTTTTACCGTTAGATTTGATTATATTCGATCTCAGCCGTTGGATTCAATGTATTTTAAAATGACATATTTAAAAAAATCAAATTTGAATCTGGACCGTTGGTTGTCCGTGAAAACCAGCCATCGGATTGAAAATGTAGCCGTTAAACTGCATTGGGTGGCCGACAAACCATTGACAGCGGGGCCCACCCCTGTCGGGAATGAATTGCAGGCGCTCCGAGTGGGGCGCGTTGGAGCGTGAACGAGCTAAGACTGGCCCAATGACCAAGGAGTCCAGTCACACAGTGGGAGGGGGAATTCTGCGGGGTATTTGGCCCAGCTTTAACATTTAGTATTTAGCCCAATGTTTTAGCATGGGTTGGAGATGGTTTGGGGGGGGGGGAATTTAGCATTTAGCCCACCATTGGAGGTGGTCTTAGGGGCCTGATGTCCTCATCGGCACACTTCCGGTCAGCAATTGGTTATAATACCAAATTGTCACATCCCGGCCTAGGCCCCTACCACATCCCAGGTGCGACTCCGCCGTAGCACGATATTGTCTGCTTTGGACCCCGACCACGCCCTCACGGTTTTGTTTCTGGGAACTTACACGAGAACTTCCCAGTGGGTCACCCATCATGAGATTGCTCTCGCGCGCTACTCGCTTAACTTCGGAGTTCCGATGGAATCCGAAGCCAATGAGTTCCCAAAATGCCTCATGTTAGGTAGAGATGAGAATATACATATAAGGCTTACATGATCCACTCCCCTGGGCGATTTGGGATGTCACAAGGACACTCAGAAGCAAGTTTTGTCCTCTTCGCCCAAGAAAATTCTACATAGGAGCAACATGTACCAGCAAGTTGAACACCACTTCTGCTATGCGTCACATGGCCTAAGCCGACCTTGCTTCATAATTCAGCTTTAGAGCGGCCCAATACTGACAGTTGAGCATCTTTTGCTATGTGTAACATGGCCCCAGCTCCACGGCTCCATACCGCACCTTCATGCCTAGCCTAGGCGACGCAACATAGCGACCTAACGACACTCCGGAGGCAGCCGAGCATACCCTAGCCACGCTTGCTTCGCCCAATGGAGACTTCTGACATTTGCATGTCGACGACGCATCCAACTACAAAGGCTCAGAAGCAGGCATGGTCCTTGTCACCCTAGACGATTCGATGCTCGAGTAGGCGATTACTTTAGGCTTCAAGGCATCTAACAACGAAGTAGAGTACGAAGCCCTACTAGCAGGCCTTTGAATGGTAAAAGACTTGGCGGTGAAAAAGCTTGCAATTCATTCTGATTCCTAGCTAATCACCAGCTAGAGTACTGGGGAGTACATGGCAAAACATCCAAGGATGCCGCAATACTAAAAAAAAGTATGCAAGCAGCTTAAGGCATTTCAGACTTACACCCTTACTCAAGTTTCGTGGGTAGACAACGCCTACGCGGACACACTAGTCGGCGTAGGCTCCACCTCAACCACCAACTCAATTGCTTTATCCTGATGGAATATCTAGACAAGCCAAAAATAGAAGAGGAACTGGTAGCCAAAGTATCATAGCATTGTTGCCCGAAGATCCTACACTAGACCACATCTTCACTGCCTAGCGCCTTTCGACGACCTAATGGTTCTAAGCTCAATCCACGAAGACGTTTATGGAAATCACTTTGGAGGCTGATCCTTAGTCCAGAGGGCTGTTAACACAAGCTGCTACTGGCCTACCATGCATCAAGCCATTAATAAGTTAGTGCAAAAGTGCGACCGTTGCCAACTCTACAAGCTGGTACCAACATTGTTTGCCAGCGAGCTACACCTACATATCAGTCTTTGGCCATTCATGCAGTGGGCAATCAACTTAATAGGGCCAATGCTGCCCATTACTGGGGCAAAGGCATGATGATCGTTGCAACTGATTACTTCACCAAATGGGTAGAAGTAGAGCCCATGACAATGACGACTCAGGAGGACATATAGCGCTTTATATGGAGGAACATTATTTGCTAATTTGGTATCCCCAATTCGTCATCATCGACAACAGCTCGTAATTAATGGGCAAAGATTTGACGAAGTTTTTCCAAAAGTATAACATCAAGCAGCACATGTCCACACTGAGATATCCTTAAGGCAATGGGCAGACTGAAGCATCCAGTAAGACGATTCTCGACTGCCTCAAGAAATCCTTCTCCGAAAAGAAGGGAAAATGGCCAAACAAACTCCCTAGATGTCTATGGGCATATCGCACGACCAAATGACAAGCCACCAATGAGATTCCTTTCTCTTCGGCATTTCGTTCAGAAGCAATCATTCTTCCCAAATGTCATCATGCCAAGTATCAGCACTCTATTGCTAGGCATTGAGCAGAACAGTAAGGAGATCGCCACATGCTTAGATCTGGTAGAGAAAAAGCGCGAGCAGACCATCACCTGCATCGCTGCCTATTAACAACAACTCATTTCCAGCTATAACAAAAAGGCCAAGATCCAGTTGTTCTAACCTAGAGATCTAGTCCTAAGAAAAGCCTTCATCACTGCCTCGTAAAGAAGGCTATAAAAAGATGGATCTCATCTGGGAAGGTCCGTACAAGATCAGCAAAGTAGGCGGCAATGGTAGTTACACCCTCACCACTATAAACGACAAAGAGATCGAAAAGCAGTGGAACGTTTATAATCTGAGGAAGTACCATGTGTGACCTCCTGCCACATCAAAGCCCGAAGACTCAAGTAGTTCGACGGGAACCACTTCCCAAGTTGAGGACCATCCAGTTGTTATGCAATTCTTACCTTACAGCTAAGTTCTCGTTCGTTTCACTCGTTTTTCAATGAGGAATTTAGAAGTAATCTATAACTTGGCTTGGCTGCATGGTTACAACAACTGATCATTCTTGCACTTCAAAAGAAGATCACGCCCTTTTTAAAGACTTATTGCAGGAATTGCAGCCCCTGAAGGACCAAGCATGCTTTCTAGTGCGAGAGGATAAACTAATTGCTCTCCAGTGCGGGAGGGTAAACCAATTCCCCGACACCCATATGGGTATGCTCTCTAAGGCAAGATGATAAACTTACACTCCGAATATCCAGACGTGGATGAGCCAAGCTGCCCTGGTATAACTAGGTGCACGATGGCTTGCGTCGGGATTCCTAGAAATAGCCATAAAGGTCTTTTTCAAGGATTAGCTAACTGAAGGGTTTTGGGTCTCTTGGCCTAATCCGTGGAGAACTGGGCCTCATAGACAGATGAGGCACATTACGTAGTACACTCTATGGATGGCTGCCCTGGAACCTTAAAACTACTACTGAGTGAACGAAGGTAGCCTACGGTTTCTGGAAGACTGCCTACGGCTTGCCATTTGAGCAGTAAAGCTGTGCTAGACTTATACAACCACACATTCTTGTGAAAGGTTAAACAAGCTAGCATGCATATACGAAGTTTTATCCACTGCCGACATGCTACGTAGTTGATA